CCCCCAAACCCGGCGGGATCTTCCGCTCTTCTCCGGGGTAGTGCGCAGGCGACAACGGCTAAAGCGAAATATTCGTGCTCCAGACTCAATCTCTCTGAGGAGTTTATAAACCAACGGCAAGTCGCGATCGAGTCCACATTCGGCCTGGCTTTGATAGCATCCACGGCAGCCATCATGTCCTCAGTGCTGAAACACGAACAGGGAGACTAGTAGCAAGCTCGCTTACAAGTGACACAGTAGCAGCATCTACCAGTGACCCTGTTATGATACAAACCCCAAATGCCACACCGATCATCCGGAATTCTCACAGAGGGAACTATCCAGGTAGAACCCACTTTCGTGATGGGAGAGGTATATGGGGATACTCTATTATGGGATCTGCATGATATCGTACAAGGACAACAGAGTTGGAATCAGCACAATACGGAACCCTATGAATGACATGGGAGCCTTTGCACTTCCATGTTGACTCCTATCAGATCTGCCTACTTGTCCGGTATCCTAACATAATTGCAATACCCCAAAGAGGTTAAAGGTGACCTGCCCTACCAGCAGCTAGCAGGTCTGTCTCATTCAGACCTCAAGCTCCAAACCCTAAACCCCAAACCCTCCCTGCGGGTTCACTTCCAAGTGTGGTTTCCAGTTATATATATATATATATAGATATTATATCGTATTTTACAGCATATGCGAGTTTTGGCTTTTGAATGACCTGAACATGGCACTTGCGCGCGGAGCCAGGTGAACGAGACGACATGGCGAAATCACAGGCCCCCCCCACCCCCCACCCCATCCCCAGAAAGCAATCAAAACGCGGCACACGCTGCTAGTGGACGCGCATAGCACGTTCACTCTTGCGGAGTCCTTTCTATGCTGTATTGAGAAACCCTAGGCACGCAATGCCACTGCTGCGAACACCTGCAAATAGCAGCATTTCAAGCACTTTCCGTAGCATGCAGGACAAGTCTCGGCCTCAGTAAGCGGTGCACCCCCCCCCCAACACGCGCCATTGCAACTGAACCCGCTAGCCAAACCCTACACCCAAACCCTAAACCCTCAACCCTAAGCCCTAAACCCTGAATCCTAACCCCTACACCCCCAACCCCAACTCCTACAAACCCTAAGCCCTCCAACATTACATGCGACGAGCTGCCAGCTTTTCGAAATGGGGCGCCGTCTTACCGTTGTCATCGATGGTGGCAAAGTAGTCCGTGATGCCTCGTTCAGGCTTAGGAAATTTAGGGATAGGGGGGTCTAATGGTTGGGGTTTAGGGGTTTGGAAGTTTTAGGGGTCTAAGGGTTTACGGCAAGTTTGGGCGTTTTGGGGTGCAGGGTTTAGGGTTTTGTTCCCCTCCTGTTAGGGATTTAGTGCTCATAGCTTACGGATGGAAGTTTTGACGTCTACCTGAAGAATGCATGAAAGCCGGTAGTATGTCCCACAAGGGCAGATGCTCAGGTAGCGGGTAAAAGCTTCTGAAAGAGCACCCACGTCCCCCACTTGACAGAGTTCTCCAGACACTATTCAAAGAGCCTAGATTCATGGCCCCATCTCGTTGGTGCCATATGAAGTCTAGCGGAGATTGAAAAGACTCCATCTTACAAGCCCGCCATCCACGAAGCTTCAGATTCTTAAGCCCCACACTTCCTTCATATACCTCCACGGACCAAAGGGCCGTAGGCCTTCAACACTTACAGTTCTACACGCTCAAAGCGTTAAAGTGCCAGGAGCCACGGTATAAGGCCCGAAGCCCTTCCCCATGAAGCACATAAACACACGCCAAACTGCAAACCAATCCTGAAATCCAAACCCCTAACCTCTACCCACTTAAAGCAGATAGCAAGCCAACCTGGAATCTTAAACGTTACACTCAAAACAAAGCATGAAATCCCCAAATCTAAACCCCCACCAAACCCCCAAACCATCCCAGGCGTATGGGTTTTTTTGAAAATCGGGGACCCACTATAGTACCCTAAATAGTAGGACCCTTATTATGTATAAAGACCCCAAAATAAGGTACCCCGCAACCTTGAACCCAAAGCTTTGAGCCCGACATCAAGCATGCGGCCTAGCAAGCGACACTCTTCCAGCACTCCGGTGTCCGAGGTGATGATGAACCTGGGGTTGTAATGAAGGTCCTTTTCAATCCTCCTTCTAAGAAGCAACTACGCCGGGGGCTAGTAAGGATACGGGGGTTCTAACGTGTCATAAGGTTTTGGGTTCAGGGCTTACAGGGTCTTAGTCTATGACGCTGGGTTCATTTTGAGGGTGGTATACTTAAAATAGAAAAGGCTCCTCGAAGGACTCCACAAGGGCACTGCATCAGCTGAAATCATTGGAATAGGGTCTTGGGAGGTCTGTCATAGTAATGCCCGAAGCTCCCACCCTGACGTGTCCTGCAAGCCCAGCATTACGCAAGTAACGGGTTACCCTGTTCTCTATTTGGATGAATGTCATACTACATCGCATTATATTGAGGCATGTTATAGTCTTACAGTAAAGACATTTATAGTCTGGGACAGTAAACCCTTGCAGCTATCTGGGCAGCTGGAGTCCAGGTTATGGCTAGGGGTTTGCACAGACTACTTTACTTGTGCTGCAGACTTCCGGGATCTTGTGGGGACAGGGTAGGCAGTGTGCACCATGCCTTTCTTAACCAGATGCAGGTTCTGATGTTTACTCTCTGATTCTCAAGGCTTTCAGGCTTTGGGAACCATCTCCAAACGCCGCAACTCCTGGGACGTCACGACCTCGAACCGAAATCCGCGATGCAACACCCCTCCGGCAGTCTTAGCTTAGATCCCGCATCCTGGCGTCGTGACCTAACACCTTCACATAACTATATATCTGTTACGACTAGGAACTGCTCGCATAAACATGCCATGCGGAAACCAAAAGTTGGTGCCTGGGGAACACCGAAGTAGTACCTGCACTATTATGGGGGGGTCCTCTCACTGGCCGAAAACCCAAGAAAACAAAAGTTTAAACTTTCAGAATCGACTACCTTAAAAGAACCCCACAACTTGAAAGTTGAATTTACAGCCAAATAAGTCCTTCTTATATAATTAGGGTACAATGGGCCTCAAAACCCTAGTCTGATGCTCGTCACCAAGGGGCGGCCGCTTCAACTTCATGGTCTGCAAGTAAGCCGCGGTCGTATAGGAGGCGCTGATCATCCTAAGAGGGCCGGCCCTAAAGCCCCCGGAAGAGCCGCAACTTTGAGGCCTCTGTGGGGCTCTTTGGGGCTTGAAAAACAACACGTTCTTCGATGCTCCAAGAGCCTCTGTGGTCTAGAAGGTAATGGGATATGCATATGGCTATGAGCTCATGGGGGGAAGGGGACAAGAGGAGGATTCAGAACCCAGGGTTCTGGGTCCAGAGATTTCATGTCCAGGCTTCTTTGCAAGGGCAACCTCCGGACCTGAAAAAAGCTTAAACTCTCAACTCCTGAGTTGTTTTCTGAATAAACCTCTAAACCCTAAAGCTTTAACACTAAAACCTCATTCACCCAAACCCTCATGCCAGCCTGGGTGGATTTACTAAGGGGATGCTGTGCATGTTTCTAGAGGCTCCTGCAATGTGTTCGGTGCTTCTTGAGGATAGAAGCTTCGTTTGAGGCTTTAAAAGGCTAACGCCCGGAGCCTGAATGTGTGCAATCAGGGCTTAAATGGTACTGTATCTCGAACACAGCGGGATACGGAAACGGGTTGGTAGTCAATATGACTGAGGCTTCCAGTGCAGCTTGGCCCCAGGATCAACCACAGTGCTTCGTGCCTTCTGCATGTGGGAGTTTAGACGTTTAGGGCAAGCCCTTACAAAACGGTTCTAAAACCCTATCACCCCTGAGCCCTCGAAGCAATAAACCCTTATGACCCTGAACCGTCGACGCTCAAAAGCCCAAATCCTAATCTGCGGTCGTTTGGCTCACCTTTGGTTAGTATATAGGGAATGGAAGAATGGTAGTAATTGTACTTATATAATTGTACTCCATTCCTCCATTCCCTACTAATCTGATGTAAGTTGGTGCAAACAAGGTTCATACTCAGCTTGTCCTCATGGCTGCGCTGCCCGAAGCTGATGCCTGCAATAGGCTAAGGATTCGCTTTTTCGGCCTGAGGGTCCAGCGTTTGGGGATGTGGGCTTAGGGCTACCTAGGGTGTCCAGGGTTCCGTTGCGAGCTTGGGATGTAGGGTATGGGGTTTGCTTCCGGGTTTGATTATGGTTCAGGGCTTCCTGTTAGTAAGGCTTTCGGCTCAGGTTGTGGGCCCAGAAACTATTATGCACTGTGTTGGTACACCCGACAAAAGGCCCAGTGAGCAAGCGCATACGCTCGCGACTCTGGGAGTTATCTCAGAAGCCCGGATGCCAGTCACCCATATACTAGGTCAGTGGGTTATGGCTACCATGCCAAGAAATACGCAAGGTGATTTCGCAACCGTTGAAAGAGTCCAAGAAACCAAGACATCATGTTACTTCCATAATACGGGCCCCAGGGCCTTTATGTCGGGGGTTTAAGCCTTTTCCCCATCCCAAGTTTAAGCCACAATCCTGAAACGTTCCTATAAGAATCCTGAACACCAATTTCTAGGGTTTACAGTTGGTAGGGTCTGCTTAGCTTTGTCTATACGGCTATAGTTCGGATGCTCAGATCCTAAGCCTCCCGCTCCACACGGGAAAAACTACACTGCATCTCCCACTGCTAGCTCTGACAAGCTCTATCCATTTCAGGGCGACCATAGCCACCGAAGTAGCAAAATTTGCTGGTTTAGGGTTTGGGCATAGGCAGGCTTCCGGTTCAGGGTTTAGCGACTTGTTCCCGGGGCATTGGGATGAAGGTGTTCGTGGAGGGTCTTTGGGCGTACATAGACTAGTCCCGGCATGGGTTCACCTTAGACTCCCAAACCTGCTAGTCTCTAGACTCTAGAGCCCGCCGCAGCCTGGGAACACATGTGTATATATTAGATACACACACCAACAGTGTGATATCCAGGATAACGCCAGTCTAACACTGTGGACCCTCGCCAGCGGAGCCTTTTCCTTCCAGCTGCTGAAGAAATTGAGAGCGTGTCTTGTTGGAGTTGTTCGTGACCTGTGCCCGATCATTTCTTCCGGGTTCGCTTCTGTCGAATTGCAGACTTGGGGAATTACGTATGTGCAGGTAGGAATCTTCTTTTATTGTGTTTGGATCGGATGGCAGGTTGCGCGCCTTTGGTCCTTTCGAAGACTTCCCCCGATCCCCACATCAACCTTAAACTGCGGCCATGTGCTTCAACCTGTGAACCCTCAGGCCCAATAACTCTGGCCGCGAATACTCTCATGTCTAGCCACGTATGCCCAATTACTTGCAAGATCTTGGGGTGAAGGCTCCAAGCAGGCCCTTGGCGACTGTTCGATGTACTTGTATGGGAGATGGGGCTATGACTGCTAAATCTTAGCTTGACGCCTCTCTATGTCCCTGTGTGTTGATTCCTCATATTTCCCACGCGAACCTGGACAAGAGTCTCAGAGTTTTTGTACTATATGCCCTAAATGATTACCATGGGGTTCGTTATTTATAGTTATAGTATAACGGGCCCCCAGAACCCTCGTCTAATTTCTAAGGCCCCCCAAAAAAGCCAAACCACAACCTTCGCCTCGCGATGGGTAGAGGATTCTCTCCCTCAGCAAGAAACCAGATCCCTGAGCATGCAAGCCTGAAGCCCTAAACTGCAAAAACCCGAAGTCACTTCCAAAGCCTTAAAGATTCCTGAAGCCCTAAATGACCTGAAAGTCCTAGAACACTCGGGAGGATAGTCATGGTGGTGATAGTAAAGAGTGGGAACCATAGAAGAACTAATCGCAAGACTCTAAGAGATAGTAATCCTGATCCCCAATAGCCCTGAAAGAACAGGCTAGGGGTCTATAAGGGGTATTATAAGGGATACTATAAGGGTACTATAGTATAGGGGCCTCAATAATTACCAATACTATTTCTGAAGTCCAGCACAAGCTGCGAACATCACCCGCTTCCCGAGACTCAGGAGATGATTCACCGTGGAAACGGAGGTCTTCGAATCCTACGCTCGGTCTTGCGACTTGGTAGGTCATGGGGGGTGGATAAGATGCCCAAGCTAGAGCACATAAAACCCAACTATATACTACCCTCTGTTGAGGCCGAAGTTTCAAGCCCACTCTAATCAGCAGGCTCAACCCACGACCTGGACAACATGCTGCTAGAACTCAGGTCTCACGTTGATCTTCATCAAAGCCTTGACTAAAGTAATTACGCGCCCCACAGAACCTTCGAAGCACTACGAAATAAAGTATACATCGACCTCAAACGGCCGGCTCGCGATGCTACCAGACACATGTCTATGCCCAATTCATGCTGGAAGGACTCTGGCGCCTCTCGTTTTATCATTGAGGAAGAGTAAATAGCGTATGCGTAAGGTTACCCGTACAGCGTGATCCAGCAACCACAAGTATCGGAAAGTGTCACACACACACACACACTACACACATATGCACATCTCGACATCAAGCCGATCTGTATCCTAATGAACAAATGAATCTACCTTGTTAGGGCTTCTTATCAAGATTTTCGTCTGTAACAGCGGCAGGTTACTCAGGGTCCAGGTCGCCAGTAAGTTCCATGATCCTCCATGTTCCCGGCGCATACAGTCCTCGTCGGAGATGCCCCAAAGAACTCCGTCGCAATCGAAGACGTACGTTTCAAAAGACCTCGGTGACTCAGAGATGAAGGGACGACAGTTCTTGGAAGAGAGCAAGTGGATGCAGCCCACTTCTTGATTATGCTCACGGTGTTGTGGCTCATGCAGGGTATAGGGGCCTACGTTACGAAACCGTGTTCGGTTTCGACATCAACCACTCTCATGATCCTCGGTTTAGGGTTCCAGTCGATCCCGAGAAATCACATGACAATTATCAGTTGCCTGGCACAAAAAGCATGATCTGCTTATAAGCATTGTCGCTGCCTTGTCCTATGTCCTCGCACGCCCCGGAACATAGGGTTTTGGAATTCCTGTGTGCAGTGAACGATGTTTGCTGACCCAAGTCCCTCAGCCCCCGAAGCGCCGAATCATTTCCGCCGGATGCAAGCAATTCGCAAGCGAAACTTACAGAACATTTAACTCGATCTACTACCCAGCCGAAAGGTTTATGTAAGCGTCTGCAGGCACGGGCACATAAAATAGAAAACTGAACAAGGCCGAGCACACGAACTCGTGGTACTGCATGGTCTTCGCTTCTCGGATGGGTGACACCGCCATGGCGTCGGCATAGCCTGAATTGGACGTCTCCTGAGTGGGGATTGAAGACTTGAAGACCTCCGTCTTGTGCTTGGGTTTCTTCCTTGAGGTTCAGTAAGGGTTTGGGTATGGCTTGGGTTCAGGCTTCGAACATTGAAACTCTCGTAGCGAACATCATTGCAAACCTGTCCCTGCCACGCATCTCGGTGACCCGATTTTGCTGTGAGCTGGCATACCGTCCTCTCATCTCGGATTCCCACGACGATTAGTGCAACTCCAACCATGCCAGCACGGTCACGACTGTGCTAAACAACCCTATAGCCCTAAACCCCAACCGGTAGAATTGCAAAGCGGGCGTCCGTAGCCGACAGGACAAGGCTGCCGGTGGTGTATCCCTCTCCCCGGGGAAGGCATGGACCACACCAGACCTCAGGGGTGTGGTGGTGGGAGCTTTTGTAGGGTTTAGGGCCTTGTATGGATGATAGGCTTCTGATTCTGCTGCCTTTGAACCTGGTTTGGGACGTGGGGTTTCGGCGTTCAGGATTTGTTATGTTTCATAATTTAGATCAAAGGGGGTGGTTTAGGATTGGGTGTGAAATGGTTTAAGCTTTAGGGCTTGGCGGTTTGAAGGTTTAGGTGTTTATAGCTCCGAGATAGGTGTTTATAGTTCCGAGAGGTTGAAAGTTTAGGCATCTAAGGTTCTAGGTGTAGGACTTCGGATTCAGGATTGTTGTTTGCAGTGCTCTTTGGGTTCGGGTTTCTAAGGTTCCGATCAGCCACAAGCCCAGAGTGCGCCGAGATTCGCTGGGGCCGTCGGACATGGCAATAGAAGAACTCCTTGATGCTTTCGTTCGGGGTGCTGGGTTTTATGTAGGGTTTCAGGTTGAGGGTTCTCGCTTTCGGGGCTTGGAGGCTTGAGTTTGGCAGTAGGGGCACGGAGCATAAGTTTGAAGAATCATGGACTTGTGATTTTCAACCGAACTTAACCCCGAGCCTTAGGTCGCCCTGCTGTCCCGGGCTGACGGCGCTAGGAACTTACTTTAGTTGCGGTTCTGGAAGCGACTTCTTGAAGAGCAGTCAAAGAGCGATCCTTCCGCACAATACTGTCTTGATGCATGCAAGTGTGGAACAGATTGAATAGCTCACATATGACTCATGCATGCTGGACCCATCACCGTCTTGCAACGAAGGCCCGTAATCAGTTAACCTGACTTTTTTGTTCGAGGGACGTGCTTCCTGAGCTGAGGGAGGTATAGCCGTGATGCAGTACTAGCATGAACAGAACATCCAATTCTTCGTTGAATCTGTTGTCCACGCGTCATTGTTTGAAGTTGGGCCCGCATCAGGGGAGTCCACAGGAGGACTCCGAAGAAGGATGCAGATCAGAAAACAATCCTTTCTTGCCCTGTACATAGTGCGTGGAAAAAGGGAACCTTGACACAAACCACGACTGCGAGGATCCTCACTACAAGACCCCCTGAATAAGGTAAGCGGTTCACGATGCCGTTTGAAGTTCCTAGTGGGGCACTATGAAAACCCCGCGACCTCGTGTGATCGGTGGAGGTCGTACAGCAAAAACGCCTTGCGACTTCACCCCAAACAATACACACATACATAGATAGATGGATATATAGAAGAGAGAGAGAGAGAGAGAGAGAGAGAGTTAATGCAGAGTTATATATATATATATATATACATATACACGTAATACAACCCGAGTAAAACCTATACTACATGTATAGGTACCAGGTATGAGGTACCAGATGCAGTCTGGACTCGTCCGGAGGGAGCCCCGCAACGGATGAAATCGCCACGTCCCGCGACCCACAAATGGGCCGCGAAGCATACACAGGCCCTACGAGGCTGATACGTTTAACTGCTTATGCTGTGGTGAGCTGTATATATGAACATTGATGAACCACATGTCGCATCTGTTGCATACATGTAAACGGTGGAATGTCATGAGTGCATGTGGGCCTGAGCGGGGTTTCAGGATGTCGAAATATGTTGATCACGGACAACTGTTCATTGGCTGTTTCGATGCGCTGGACGAGACTGGTTTCGGAGATTTGCAGCACTGAGGGGCCTAAGTTGAACGGCCCAGAACATAAGTCGGTTAAGTGCATCCACATGACAAGCTGCGGTCATCCGTGAAGAACAAGTCACGCCTTGAGCCTGACCCTGCAACGAAGCGTTTGAGACTTATATAGGGCTTGTTCAGAGGATGGCGCGGAACTTAGCAAGCAGGGTCGGAAGCCTTTTCAAGGCTAAGGGTTGCAAGTTTTTGAAGACCCAGCCAACGGAGATCCAACTCACCGCCAGCTTCGATCCTGCAAACCTCGTGAGATTGAGGTATGGGGCATCAGGACTGCCCTGAACCCAAGAGCCGTAAACCCTCGGTACCTGAAACTGCGAAGGCCCCAAAACTCCGAAACCCAACTCGATGTTGTTCCTGCTGAACACACCAATGTCTGCACCGAAATCACCGGCTGGCCGGCAGAACTAGAGTAGGAATTCGCGAATCCATACCCTGTTTCCCGCAGAAAGCCAAAATACCGCGAGGCAAGACATGTTGCATAAAACAACCACTGTGTTTCTGTTGCCTAGGATGTGTCGCTTGCTGCTTTGGTGCTCTCCAGACTATTTCGGGCTTGAAGGCTGGCAGTGCCTGGCACCGTGCCCATAGCCAGGACCTATCAACGATGACCGTTGCATTGCAAACCAACATTTCCTCGACGATGCTTGGGATTTTAGGTAGTTTAAGTCGTGCGGAACCCTGGTCGAAACAAAAAACCTATCGAGGAGAGGATCTCTACATGAAGACACGTGGCGCATGAATCTATCTTCAAGCCGACGCCGTCGGCCCGAAAGTTCCCCAACCGTGCTGAATTCGGTAGAGTTTAGAGGCACAATATAGGAGTTTCGGAAAATTAGGGGTACCTTATTCTGGGGTCCCTATAATCAGAATCCTGCTGTTACGGATGCTATAGTATGGTCCCCTCTTTTCCGAACCCCCCCCCGTATAAGTCAAATGCAACTCGCACTAGCCACTACTCTGAGTCCGGCACCGGCAAAAATCGACTTTGCTGAAGCTTTAGAAAGCCTACACCGGCAAACTCAGACCCTTGGTCCCCCATCCTGACCACCAGCGCCCTGGTATCATAACAACCCTACACATATACAAATATATATATATATATATATATATACATATAAATATATACACATGTATATATATATATATATATACACATTGCAACTCCTATAAACACCCTTTAAGCTTTAAACCTGCTAGCAGCATCGGTTGAGCCCAGCTGCACACAGGTGACGGTCGCTGGTGTGAAAGTCCCTGTGCGACAGCTCCTGGTCTTGGGGCTTAGATGTTGGGTCGCGCTGTAGGTTTGTAGGATTGGGGCTTAGGGTTTAGAGTCTTCGTAATGAAGATCCGAATCGGACCCTAAGCCTAAGCTTCGGGGCCTGTGTGAAGAGAACAGGCTTTCGGGGTTTTCTGGGATTCCGATGCCACCCTTGAAACCTGAAACTATCAAGTTCAAAACCCCTTTTAGGGAAACCCAAACTTCGGTGCATTCCGAAGAGCAGGCTCTCCACGGAGGGAGTGTAGCCCGCAGCGCACTGCGTAGTGCAGGAGGTGAAAGGCAAGATCTTCTCGCCGTCTGCTGCCTGCAGAGTTTTGCAGGGCTGCAGGCTTTGAGGTGATGGGGGTATAAAGCGCATATAGATTCAGAGGTCACGGGTAGAGGGCTTAAGGGTTATAAGGTTTAGAGATTCACATACTTGGTCTTCAAACTTAGGAGTTCAGAGTTCAGGGTTCTAGGGTTGAGGGCTTAGCAGAGCTTGTCAGTACAAAAATCAATCGTCGTCATTGAGGACTTCTGTTGTACTTGTCTCATCCTTTGAAGGTAATAATTACATTGTCCGAAAGTTGAGTTCCTTCGCCCTGTATTGGACCCTATATTATATTGGTACAAGTACGCCACCGTATAGTATACGGGCTTCTAGGCTTACGGAGTTTTCTACATAGGGATTGTGGCTGGGATCCGACTCTCGCAGGCGTGCGGGCGTTTCCAGGTACGTCCACGACAACAGGCCCAAAACCCGATTCTTCGGAGCATGATGAACCCGGCAGCACATGCTCGCAGACCGCAGAACCCTACAACAAGCAGCCGCTATAAAATTATGAAGAACCCAGATAAACCCGCGAAAAAAAACAATACCCGGTGTCGATTGCAACCACCCTCAGCACCGTTTTACAGCCTTAGATCTATATGCGAAGTTTCAGCCTGGCCCCCAAATCCGAACCCTCGGGTCTCGTTCGGGCTTCGGCAAGGCCTCTCTGCAAAGACCGCTCTGCGCGGCATTGGCAACTTTGGGCACCTTAGACTGCTCCAAGAGACCCCTCGGGTCCTACAATAGATTATAGGGGCCTTCATGATTAGAATAGGGTTTTGGTGCTCATCATACTATACTTATAATATGGAACCTCCTAAATAATCTAGGTAATTTCTAGGGCCTGGGTAGTATTATACTTTATTCAATATAGCATACTGTAATGCAGCAATTGTGAAACTGCCCGAAACCGTTGCCCAGCAACTTGTAACACATGTTTTTCCAGTGTGTTCTATCAGGTTCATGTAATCATCAGGTGTCTAGAACTCAAGACCCTATACAAATCAGTAGCACCTCATAACACCTCATGCACCCTTAGCCCCCTGAACCAGCTACCAAACCAACAAGACCCGCTCCAATTGCAGGAGACTCAGCCTATCATAGCTTGCACTCTGCTCCTCATAGAAAGTCTATGAATCACCGCGAAGACCCCTTACGAAACTCCGCATGCCTCCGTTCATTTTATGTGGACTCCCAACTAAGCCATGCAACAACCCTCAGCCTTACGACAGGCCCAAAAAATATCTAGTATACACAAGTCTGAAGCGCAGCAGGCTCCTGAGCAACTCGCACCATTGTCAACCCACCTCGCAGCCCTGCGGCCCAACACCTTGAACCCTCGCAGCCTTTCCCAGAGATCCCAACACCCCCTAGTGAGGTAAACCTTACCCAATCTACCTTGACCTTAGAACTCCTTTATACACGCCTTTCCCTCTGTTTGACTCGAGTCCTCTGGGAGATCTGCTGCCAAGGCTCTTCGCATGGAGCCTCGCATGTAAAGCTCGCGGGGGTCAACCTGGTGCTTCGAAGCTCGCAGTGCGCTCGTGGGTTCGGGGCTTGAGGGGTTGGGGCTTTTTTCTACCATGGCCTTGTGGATTGAGGATGTCGGGTTAACAGATGCGGGGCGCGTGGTCATGGGGCTCGCGGTTTGGGGAAGTTCAGGGATAAGGTGACCCGGTGTAAAGTTTGGGCCAGTTTGGGGTTGTTTTTTTGGAGGGTTATTGTAGTGTTGGGTTGGGATGTGGGATTCTCAGACGTAGCAGTGGTAGTAGCAATAACGGCGCAGCATCGTAGGCAGGCAGCAGCGGTAGTCAAATACCAGCAATTAAGCGATTGTGATGACTTGGACGTCCAGGTTTTCGATGACACGTGAGATGCTTGTAGGTGTTCTGCACTGCAAGATCCCGGGTTTCGTCTGTCGGGCTTGAGGAAGTTGACGCCATCTCTTAGCCACAGTTTCCTTGCTTTCTCCATCCTTTGAGCACCTGGGTCTCCATCCTGTTTACATCCTAAACCCTCCCCTAAGGACGATGCCCTAACTATGTCCTCGAACCCAGGATCTAACCCTCGCCAAACCTCCAGATCCTGTCGAAGCGTCTGAACAATCATATGCACCCCAAAACCCTCATTTTAGGCATAAAGCCAGCCGCAACTAACTCCAGACATTTTTAGGCTTAAGGGAGAAAACACCGGCTCCACACCTCTCTCTCTCCCAGCTCCACACCTAAACCCCAAATCCGAAACCGTTGGGATTACGATTTGGGGTTGGCGCTACCCCACCAAAGCCAAGGAGCACTTCCGCATGGCATCGGAGAAGCTCATCCGAAGGATAGAAATTTTCCTCGCGAAGCTTAGGATATGAAGCAAAACGTCCGGCCTGACCATTCTCTGCAGACTGATGCCGTAAACGCATACTCACCCTCACATAGATTCAAAACCTCTCTCTCTCTCTCTCTCTCTCCGCCTCTTTCTACATAAGCCTTGGCCGTCCCCTCACCCTTTCCAAGATGCCAACAACCTTCAAAAATTCACCCAAGACCGAATCCCCTCGCCTTGCACTGCACCGTGCAGGATTCGCCGGAGGTAATCACTGCGTCCCCGGTATTCGGGCCCTCCTGTTGAGGATCCGATAACAGGGCTGGGGTATCGGTGCAATTTACGTAGAAGCCTGCGGTATATACAGACTAGAGCCAAAACGATGACATAGAATTTCAATGCTCCGTTGATCTTCTAACTACCTCCGGGGGTTCGCTGATTTGCTTCCGCGACATTGAACAAGATGCTCTCATCTCAGAACAGTAGGAACCGGATTGGGGATGGTGTTGTCGGTTCTATTGAACTATGTATTCGTTGGTACAAGGGAATTCTATTCCTGCTTATATTATTGGCTCCATCACCCTCGTTTGCCCCGCCATCCATTGGCCAGTGCATCCATGCCCATACCATGATAACGTCCATGATGCCAGCCCACTCATTGGCCAGCATATCGATGCCTAAACCAGTCTTGCCCGTTGCACTGCCCCTTGAAAACCAACAAGTCCGCCTAACACCATAACGGGGAAGCCATGTTGAACAATGCTAACACATGCATGTACAATTAGCAACTTCGGCTGCGCAGAAACATCGAGCTTTGTTTGCGAGGTTTTGCTCCGCCGAATTTCGGGTACGAAAGTTAAACAATGCTAACATACAAAAGTATCGGCCCTGAAATGCTTGTCGCACTGTATTCCAAAACAAACTGGGGCAAACGACGGCGATGGACCCTACTGGGACGCTGCTTACTGCGACCACTGCCAAAGCCCCTATTAAATTTGCGGCCGCTGGTGCAAGAGGATCCAGGCTCGCAGAGTCTATCCAGTCTTTCAGGCAACGCCTTCGGCCTGTACGCCTAAACTAAGCTGCCGAGTCCACAAGACGAGCAACTTAAACGAAGCCTCTATGCCTTGGACCTGCAGGTTGACAAGCCCCGAACTGTACACCAAAACACACGTCACTAGACTAGAAGACCCCGCCTCCCACCCCCACTTCCCCCAAGATCTCATAACACCTGAATACTGAAGGCTCAACTTCCATACTTCAAAAACCCGGCCTTGCAACCACTGGCCAAGGCATTCGCCACGGGCTTCACAGTACAAGGATTGGCCTTCTCATGATCCAACTTAGGAGTTTGGGCTCAAGACTTCGGGCAGGCAGGGGCTACTCCGGAGAGTTCAGTAGACACTCACGAACGGACGAAGACTGTTTGCTGTCGTCTACAGCTAGATGCACTTAAATGCTACAGAGTTAAACCAGCATTGCCAGTAAGTTTTGCTTGGTCCTGTCAAACAGATCTGGATCCAGATGGAGCTGCACCCCAAGCCCTGAGACGACCCCAAGAGGCACAAGCACCAATGCCAGAGCAAGAAAGGCAGCAGCACCACCCCAATCCTCGTTATCAAAGTTATCAGGAGCGAACAGCAGCAATGGTAGCAAAGGCAGAAGGGCGGCAGTAGTACCGGCGACAGCAGGTAGGGGTATCAGTGCTCGTATGGTGATTTTCGGTGCTATCGGATGTGGTCAAGTAGCAGCTCATCGTTGGTGTGACTAAGTGGTGCTGGTGGTGGTGGCAGTCGCGGTGACGCTGTCGCGGTGGTCGTAATGTGTGGGAGAAGCTGAAGCCCTAACTCCACTCAAGGCCGCAAACGAACAAACCAGTGGCAAAAACTTCCGTACAGGATTTGCGAAGACGGGCCGGTAGCAAAACAGGGTCAATGAATACAACAAGGATGGCTTTTTGGTAGTACCATTTATGGCAGTCAGAAATAATCACAGCAACATTAATCATGATATGAACAATGGCAACAGTAGCGACAATAATCATGAGGGTGAGTTAACAGGAATGAGAAAACAACAAGCATGATTGGGCGGCATTCATGACCGCAACTTTGGCAATGAGAAAAGCAAGCTGCTCTCTGACTTCCTTCCTAAACAAACCCGGGAGCCTAAAGTCAAACCCGCCCAAAAGCAACCACGTGTGCCTCGCATTCGAAGGTCTTCCTGGGCTCTGGACGCTTTATGAAGGCTTCTTGACTCCTTATAGAATCCCTTACGGTTCTAACAGGCTTCTATCTTTCATGCAGCCGGCAGTAGTCGGGCTCAGAGTGGGTTACTGGGTTACATGATGTGTGATTAGTTTGCATCTGTTTCGGGGCTCTGGGGCTCGTTGCAGCTACAGAGGGGTCACGAAGGAAAGGTACTGTCAGGAGCTCCGGGGCTACAGGCATTGCACTTGTTGCCGTTGTCCTGCGGATTGTGCTGCCTGATCCCTACGCAATCAGACCTTCAAATGTTCAACCCCATGCTGTGAGGAATCATCTGCTTGCACACCAAGATGCGGGTTGAACTCGCCAGTTTGCAGGCAGAGAAGCTTCGCGATATTCGGCGTGTAGCCTGGTCGAGCCACAGGCTCCCAATTTACTTACCTTTGGTTAGTAGGGAATGGAAGAATGGTAGTACTAGTAGTTATAGTTGTACCCCATTCCTCCATTCCCTACTAACCAAAGGTAAGTTTACGGAGGAGCTACACCGGATTTTGGAACAGTTGCCATTGGGTTTACTAGGGTCATCAACATTGATTTAGGTTGGAATCTTGGAGTGGTTTTTAGACGGGTTGATTGGGAGATTCAATCATGTTTCGATCTGGGCCGTACCAAAACTTTAAGTCAGAAGTAAAGTCCCTCTTTTGAGTATCTCATGTTCTAATTATTTGTGGATCCTAACAACCGATGTAAGCTATCCGAAACGATATTTACCGAAAAAGATCCTTCATAATGAATAGGGGTTGTAGATATCGTCGTTATCGGTACAGTACTACGATAAACCCGAGAACCTTATTCTAATTCCCACAGTAGACCACATGATACAGGGGAGGGTGCAAAATTTGGTGTGCTGTGGTCGGGTTCCACGCTTACTTGCGTGGAGCACTTCCCGGATAGAATAGTCCTGGATCTACGAATCAAAGCTGAAGGGTTAGGGCTTGGGGTTCAGGCCATCAACATTCGCAAAGCCGAAAAGTATATGTGACGTATTGAAGAACGGCTCCTAGAAATCAAACGCTTGCCCGTCGGGTTATTTACGGATTATCGTACCCCAACAGGGTAAAGGTCACTCTTGCTCTACTACTAAGGAAGTTCGAGCCTATTCAGGGAATGACCACGTGGCTCTTTGACAGCCCTGAGTTTCCGAGACCAGGAAATACATGGTATATATAACCACTCAAAACAGAGAGTTCTTGGGCTTTCGGGTTTATGAGGATTTCAAGCCACAGGTGTATGGGTGGTTGTCAAAATGATGGTCCCTTTTGGGGGTACCCTAATAGATAGGTGCCGTACCATAATAGGGACCCAAAAAGGGACCCTAATTTTGACAACAACCCATATGAAGCAACTCACTCGGCCTGTTGTACATCGCGTGGTGCACTCGTGCCCCGGCCGTGTTCGCATGGTCTTGCAGGTCCCGTCCTGGCTACCCTTGAAGACCTCCGGCTCCTGTCGGTGAGTTCAGAATACTTGTTGCTTAAATGCTGCTTCCTGTCTTCTCGCAGTTCTAGAGTTCATCGTTTAGGTCCAGGTAGGGTCATCACAAGCATTGTATAGCATTGTGGGGTAGCTCTCAACTCTAAAGACGTCCAAAGCATGCAGGAAAGGCAAGAGGTTTCGCCTCTGTCGGAGGTCTGCCTTTATAGTTGCCATCCTAACCTAGACCCTAGATTCCCATGAATCCTGAACGCTTAACCCTGAATGTCCTACCCTAGGCTCTGCAAGCCCTGATGGGAGGCCCCTGCGTTGGGTGCCGCCAAGACGATTGGTTGTTTCGCATCGCGTGACGACTTCGGTATTCAGGGGTAGGGGCTCAACAACACGTACCCTCCAATGCTGTTCCTCGTTCGGAAATACGATTCGCTGCATGGAAACATCGGACATGCAATGCAGGATATACCCATCCGACATCATCATGAGCGCGCTTGTCTACAGAAGCTCATATCTGCATGATTGTCGTCACCATAGTCGTCGTCACAGGAGTGTGGGCCCGCTGTGGTCGGGTGAGCTATGTGACACATCTCATACATGCAGAGACCACTACTCTCCCAACACCATCAAAAAAACAAAGACAAATCAAAACCCGATGCAGGTTAACATGCAGGAACTGAGTAGAAGTCTCCATGGCCTTCCGACTCCAAAACCGTACACTGCCAGCTCTAGGTGTGTGCTTCTGGTCGTCTGGCCCGAAGCAAGACAACTTAAACCCCATGCTTGGAACGCAAGCGTCCAAAGGGCAGGGTTTACATGAGGGATCAGGAGGCTTAACTCTTAACCAGCAGAGGAAGCAATTAAAGTCGAATAACCCTACTTATTGCAAGCTACTTGCGAAGCTCCGCGATCCCTTTTACACCCTAAACCCAAAGCACCGAAGCAACATCCTGAATCTCGAGAAGCTGAAGTACTTAACCCAAGCCGTCAAAACCCCAAACCCAAAACACAAAAGTTAAAATCCCAAAGCCGAAAACCCTCAGTTCAAATCATGTTGAACCTTAGAAACCTAACCCAAGATGCACCATGCTCGCAAACTCCTTTGCAAACCCAAAGCCCTAGAACCTACTGCTTCAATCGGAGTCGGCTGAGTCGAGGGCTGTGCACTGCTTCTCCCCTAAACTCTCCGGAGGGTTCTGCACGCCACCTCAAAGCTCCGGCACTCGAACATCCTGATCCACTTCCTCACATCCTAAACCCCCAACCCTGCGAGCCAAACCCCCAAGGACCTATTGCCCAGACACAGGGTTCCGGGGTTGATATCATATCAGGGGGTGGGGGGCGGGGGCGTTTGAGAGTCCGGGTAGGTTGTGTTTGGGACGGGGGTACACTATAGCATGAGCACAACCAGGCACACTAAGTGTCCACATCGATTGGTGTCAACTCAAGCTTCGACAGTAAGGATTGCGGGCTTAAGCAAGGTTTCGACTCTCAAGGCAGGTTAGGCTTCACCACCCCTCCCCCCTGAAGTAGCAGTCATTCGTGGAGGTCTTGGAGTTCGCATGACACCGCGAATTCGGGATTGTGCTCCCTCGGTCTGGGGCACTGGAAGCCTGAAACATAAAGCCAACCCCTCAACCAATGAAAATCGAAACCCTGGACCAAACAAATAACAAGCCTTTCAGCATGCTTGCATGCACTCATACACAACCCTCGCGTGCGCAATGAAGCGGCCTTGATAGTCAGAGTAGGGTGTTGGGATTTCTCTTGTTATGGTTGCAAAGAGACAACCTCAAGACTCCTGCTACTTCTTCTCACGCTGCCAGCTGAAACAAAGGCCCTCGGCGTGAAAACGTTCCTTGGCAAGTGGCAGGTCGAGCCGACCCCGCAGGTCTTGTCGTCTCGGATCTGGCATTCATAACCTCAGATGGGCTTTGGAACCGTTTGGGGTTTAGGGCCTCCGCCGAAGGAAGGGCACGAAGCATTTTTACAAGCCCGAAGTCCAAGCCCAAAACAGAAGCCTCTAAATCCTGAACCCTGAGCCCTTCACCTTCGAACAACCCCCAAAACTAGCTTTCCACACCCCCCCAAGTGCCAAACCCAGAGCCCGAAAAGGGATCAGCAAGCAAAGCAAAGCAAGCGACGTGTTTGATGATTGCAGCAGCTACACATACTTGCCTGCATGTATGTGCTGACCTCCAGGTCCAGGTGCCTAAGTATCTGTCTACGCATCTAACCTATGTAACTATGTGCCTATACATGCACCTATGTACACATACATGCTCATCTATCTGTCTGTCGATGCAGTATGGCCGCTGATGTGTTTATTATTAGCAGATACATGCCCCGCAGCCCAGTCCGTTGTTGAGGTAGTCTTTGTCTGCCACCTCGGATGCGTTCACTCTTATGGCCATGCGAAGCTGGTAAGAACACTACTAGAATCAGCGATGTGGGTGTTATCTTCCAAGACATGGGCTCGGTCTTCAGGCGACAGAGTTGCAACATAATTCAGGCGCTCGGGATTAGGCGTAGGTCATAGGTGTCCTCGGTCGTAGGAATTCGGCCCAGGGTAATTACCAAGCTGAAACCGACGAAGGGTTCGGGGAATGGGAAGAGCCCTTGCAATGCGCAAGCTCCCCTACTTCAGGAGGTAGATCGCACATCCAAATTATCGCAAAGGAATTGGCAAAAACAAGCTGTCCACGAATTACAAGAACTATTCTCCACACTACAACCGAACCTAACCACTCGTGTTAAAAAAACGGCCATGGCTCTGACGACTAAACCGACCCCAAAGTAACGCGAGACCACAAGGCCTATAAACCTCAAAAGGTGGGGCTATTCGGGGTACCAACTATGAAACATCGAAGGCCTTGACCTAAGCCAAGTCAACCCCCATCATCAACAAACAGCCCAACATGCCCCACAAGTTTGAGCCTTAAACTCCGTGCGGTTTGTGGAGTCTCACACCACACAAGGCTTCCGAATTGCGACCCGGCAGCATAGCGCCCGTCGCAGACATCTGGGGCCAAGTCCGAGCATGTAGGCGTTCCCTTGGACCCATCGCTCTTCTCCTGCGGGAGAGACTTTTTTGCTACTGAATCAGAAGACCCCGCCGCAGCAAGCAGTCAAGGTACACGGAGGAACAGGATGACCTTCACTTCAGGGCTTTACAGGCAGGCTTCCGGCGTTTAGGTTTCGGTGGCTATGTCTTTCAGCCTCTGGGCTCCAAAAAATGCGCAAGTGTACGAAAGTGGAACATTGATGCTGGGCCGAAAGCAAACCCTGCTACAGGTTCCGTGGCTGACAGTCTTGATATCGACAGCACAGAAACGATATGTGTTTGCTTGTGCTTGTGCTGTGTCCATGCTCCCTTGCTTGCTTGCATGCTTGTTCGCTTAAACATATATATATATATGTATATATACATATATGATTATGTACGTAAATATTCTTATATTCAAACACGATCTTAATGTTATGATGTGATGTGATATAACCCAATACAACCTCGTACAAACTAGCAGAAAATATATACATATTACATATATACAGTAAAAATACATATCACATGGTGTGATATCATATCACATGATTTCATATAGCACGCTGCAGCACAATGTAATATAGCATAACGTGATCTTATTAACTTAGCTACATACACTGCTGTAGATGTCTCGTTGCACACACACCACGCAACTAGGGGTTTCTCATTTTGGTAGCTTCAGGGCCCTTGGTAGGACTTGCACTCGAGCATTGCCATTTGAAGTCTGTCTGTCAGGCTCGCGACCTCTGCCATGTTTGGAGGCCGATACGCAAAACTCTCCTCGGCGAACACGCCCGTGCAGCGCAGTAGGCACACTTCCTGACAAGATGTGTCGAGTCGGCCGTGCAGGACATGAGAGGGTTTGAAACAACTTGGGTTTTTTTTATTACATTTATAGTATCATGGGTCCCAAAACCCTATTCTAATCATAAAGGCCCTACGGACGGCTCGGCTTTCAGCCCCATGCCCTGGCCCTTCAAGAGGTCGCATGTAAGCTGCGCAACACTTCAAAATCCTGTGTTCCACGCAGAATTCTGAAAAATCTGCGAACAGAGTCCAAAACATCCTACTCAGAGGGGAAATTCAGAGCTTAGGGATTGGAGTCTCGCAACTGGGACTCTGCTGGCGAGGTTGGTTCGGTCGGAAGGCAGGACGCAATGGTCCCAAAACTGTCGGGATCCCATTCAGGGCACTCTTCGGTTTTCGGGTCTGTGGTCAGGATAGCCCCAGACTCTTGGAAGGTTCAAAAGCAGGGACAAGGCAACCCGTGACGTCACCGAACAAAAATGGTTATTCAGGGAATAACCCTGCGTAGCATGAGAGCTAGGCTGAGCCCGAGAGCTGCTTCCATATCGAGACAACCTGATCACTGATCTGATTACACCGACCTCCAAACTCGCCTGAGACGGCTTTGAGAAACTCCTACCTCCAAAGCACAAACTTCGGAACGAGACCTATTTTCATCCCGAACCAGCCAAAGCCCTCTCCAGCCCGAAACACCTAAGGAGACCCATGCAATCTGCAGAACAGGGATCATGTGTTCTAGCTGCTCCTATTGGACCCGTATCATAGCAAATTAACTACGGCTATCGTGGTACATCTTCCTAATAAGGCCTAAACCGGTCAAACGCTAAACCGCTAAAACCCAAAAGCGGCCAAGATGCGCTTGAGCCACACTCTGTTGGGTCCTCTTTCTTCGGGATGCACATCTGGCAGGCAAGCAGGAGTTGCTAACATAGTCGTGGCCCTTAAACCAAGCTGTGGGCCCGGGTGTACACTGTCGCAACTCGGCAAAGAAGAGTTAGGGTTCCAGCACACGTCCTTTAAATCTTCAAAAGGATCTGGGGATATATCAAAACATAGCGACGGAGGGGCCATTGTAAGAAACTTTGCGCACAAACAAGCATACTTCTGGAGTACATAGTGCGGCTTGCTTCGCTTGCAGGGGCCATTCCCATTCCAGCGGGAGTACAAGGGCAAACCAGTGATTCCGGATTAATTTGTGTGTTATTTGCGGCTGGGGGATCGTTTACAGCCCTTCTGCCGGTGGTTTGTTTTGGCATAGTTTGGTGAAAGCCCACCCCGGTGCCGGCTGTTTGACAAGCCAGGTCGGTTCACAAGCCTCATGCCCCTTATGAGCCCGGTCTCACGGCTTGCAGGCCAATACTTCATAGATTCATAGAGCAATCAGGCTTGTATGCATGTGTGTCTTCACGTATGTACATCAAGAAATGCACCCGGAAATGAAGCACTGCACACCGTGCAGGCGCTCGAGGGCTTTAAGGGCGGACGGTTGAGCTTTCCGACAGGAAGGCTTAAGGATTCAGGTCTGCGGCTTTCCTAGGAGTCTAGAGAGCCCTAGAGCTATCTCTGAGGCATACAGCCCCACATCCCCCACCACCCACCTCCCTTTTTTCAAGGGGTTTGGGGTTCCTTAGGAAGGGGACCAGGATGATTTGCGGTTGTTGTGGGTCTGGACGTTGGGTCGAAGGTGTGGGGCACGAGTCAGACACCGATGAAGCACCCCAACAATCTGAAGCGCACATCCATGCAGCTCACACTTTTGGGATGAAAACTTCAGGTCCATAGCACCTTCGGGGGCTTAGGCTTAATCCCAAACCCAAGATGTGAGCCTTGAAGATGTTTCCCTCGCAGTTGTGGTAGCTGCCGATGCTACAGTTTTCCATCTGCCCACAGGGGTCCTCACCTGATTGGGTGTCCATGGCTTCCTTGTGACAAGCACACAGTACACTAGGGCGTCTATGGTTATAAGGCCCACTAACAGTATTAAAGGTTACTGATCTAGAGGCAAGCGCAGCCACTCTTGTATGCGTCAGTGATTTAAAACAATTGAACGATAAAGATGTTTGTTTTACATACAGATAGGTACATGCGTACATGTAAGCATACATACATAAGCAGGTAGCATGCATACACCTATGTATGTATGCATGTATGTATGTATTGTGTAAAGTATCAAAAGCAACAGAAGGGCCGAATAGAGAGGTTCAACGGAGTACCGTATCCTCCTGCTCAGGGTTAAACAGCGACCTCGACTCGAGGAGCATCGTACCAAAATGCATCGAGGCACTGGCGTCCGCAGGGCACCTTCCAAGATGCAACATAGCCAGTTCGGGCTAATACAGTGTAGGTGCCCACCTGTCCCACTTCCTTGAGCTTTGTTCGATTGTCTCATGGGATAGATTATGGATGTGTGTGTGTGTAGGGGGGGGGGCACTGTAGGGTTTCTCATACCTCACTCGAAGGACGAACATAAGAGTAGAGCGGACTGCAAAGCCAGCTGGCTCTCATTCCGAAGTCACTCAACAATGTGAGAACTTACTTAAAGGGAATCCTAGACGTCTTCAAAGACCCACTGAGATCGGCACGACAGTTGGCTCCCGGCACACGTTGCGGGCCCCGTGGGAAACTGCGGCAAGAACCGCTCTTTCGCCCTGCGGCTGGGAAGGTCCGCAAACATTGATAGCTCTTCTCGGCCGCACAAGACACCGTGAATCAGCATATTGTACGGGTATACATATATATGTGTATATATATATATATAGTTCTCTGAATATATATATATATATATATATATATATATATATATATGTATGTATGTATGTATGTATGCGTATAGGGCTGCATACTGTGTTTTGTACGCAAAACTGGAAATGTATACACACAGCAACAAATCCGCCTCTTCTCGGTCTCGTTCTTTATTTCTCTCTCTCTCTCTCTCTCTCTCTCTCTCTCTCTCTCTCTAATATGATATGTATATATATATATATATATACTGATGTCATATCACATGTTCATACGCATACGATGACATGGTCTCTGACACAGGCTCAGTAAGTTGCGACACCCCTAAATGCTGGATCCCGAAGCCAGCCCCTGCCCTCCCCCCCTGAAACAAAAGACATGCAAAGAAATCAATCTGCCTGACACTGAGAGCTGTTCTTCGCGCCTCGGAGGGCTTCGACATTGAGGGCAGGTTCGGACTCCTACTTCCGTAATAATAAAAAAAGGAACATTCATCGCAATCATACGACTAAAAATAATGATAATAATGAAAACGATAGTACTACGAATGATTTATGCCCTGCACGTGTCACCGAATGCTACCACAACCTGCTGTTTGTGTGTGTGTGGCCCACGAAATGTGTAACGGCTTGCAATAGGCGCCTACAACAAAATAGCTAATGGTTTTGCTACAGTGTAGAATGGCAAGGTTCAAGTTTTAGGATGGATGCCGCAAACACACAGCACCAACCACTGCTAGCAGCTAAAAAGCCCTTAAAGAAGCCTCCCCCATGGCTGCGAAGACTAAGCAGTTCAAAGCCGTCAGCGCCCTGATCAGCATTAGGCATCACACACAACAAGAAACCCCAAATCCCAAACCCCTAAACCCTTTCTTTGAAGGGGGGCTCCGGTGCACATGCACTTGGGTTTCTATAGCCCAAAACCCCTGAGCCCTAAACCTTCAACCCCTAAACCCGGAAGCCTCAACCACGAACCCCAAAACTCTGGGTATCCGCCTACACGGCCCGATGCGAACATCCAGAAGTCATGTTTTCTCGGGGATTTCCAGGTTTAAGGGCTTGCGGATTTCGGGGTTTAAGGGTTTGGTTTGCCGCTTTCGGCGGTTAAGGCAAAGAGGTTCGAATCACGGAATAACTGGAACAGCCGAGATGCTGTGGAGAACGCGGCTTCCTGGTTCGGGCTCCGAAGTGAAAGCAAGAGCCAGCGAAAGAATCATAAGCATAATGCTGATAAGCACGAACATACTAATACTGAGAGATCAAGTGCCAGGTTTCCAGGACGTGTCTGTTTTGCACCGCCACATAGGGCATGGAGATCGTTGAGTATGATAGAAGTCTTACGAAGTCCGAAGAGCCATAAAGCAGTTGGGGTAGTCGTCGATCTTCAACAGATCTACACCCTAGCCATCCCTGGCCCTAAACCCTCAGAACACTGCCCTAATTTAGGATTTAGGCAACTGAGGCCTCTGGATTGGAAAAGGTCCCTGAAACGAAGCCTCAGAATACTCAGCCCAACTACATTGCACTCCCTCCTTATAGCCAGGGTTTGAACCCTGTAACTCTACAGTACTGAGCACAATGGCACTGTGGTACTAGTCTGCAAGCCTGAGACAGTACTGGCCTGATAAACCAATAGTCAAAGAGGGTCCGAGTACTTTACCACAACCTTGAAACCACCCCGAGCTGGGAGTCTCAGTGTTCGGTTCTTAATGGGGTGAGTGGTGCGGGTTGCTACAGTTCAAGACAGGATGGATGCAGTGAGGCGAATGAAAGATCTGTAGGTCTTAGCCGACTCATGAGCTGCCAGAAAGACGCTTGGGTCTGCACATAGCTAGCATCTCCAGGGGCTCAGGAGTTAAAGGTAAAACTGACGAGCCCAGAAATCTTTGATGAGATCCTAAGGCCTTCAACTCGATCTCCCGATCCTTAATCCTAAACCACAAGCCCCTTAAACCCTGAACCCTAAATCCTAAACCTTAAAGCGAAACCCCTAAATCCTAAACCCCTTAAATTATAAACCCTACACCGATCTCTCGGCCGGGGAACAGAGAGAAGGGAGGCATGGAGTCGATGCTCTTCCTGCTGGGATTCTTTTTGCGTTTAGGGTTTAGGGTCTAGGATTTAGGGATTAGGGTTTAGGGTCTATATAGGGTCTAGGGTTTAGGGCTTAGGGTTTAGGGTCTAGGGTTTAGGGTTTGGCGGTGGGATTTCAAGGTTTACACGAACCTAGCTTAGTAGGGTTGGGGAGTTACATGGGATTCAGGGGCTGTGGGTAGATATGGTGAGTACGTAGATGAGAGAAGGGTTTAGGGTTTTTTGGTGAACGATTTGGAATTGCGGGTGCCGGAAAAACACGGTTGAGTCGAAAAAAGGACAGGGGATTGGGTTAAGCTGGTGATGAAGGGCTTACGGGTTCAGCGTGTTGAGCCCTATTCGGGAAGCTGCTGTTTCACAGGATGTGCCTTAAGTTCCGGCTTTTTCCAAGACGCGGATATCCAGGCTGCGGGATCGAAGCTCCAAAACAGCCCAAACCACAATACCTTGCAACCCCTAGCCTGAGAACTGTAACCGCTTGAATTGGTCTCAACGCAAAAACAAGCCCGAAGCCCCAAGCCTCAATGAATTCTGTCAGTATTACTGTAGACCCCCGAAAGAGGTTCTACTCTTCTGCTAAGTCGCGAGTATCACATCCTCCTGTCCGGTCTTCTGGAGCGAAGCCCTACTTCCCACAACTCTTGTATAGGCTTTATGAAGCCAGACCTTACAGAACCGAAAGCCCTCATTCCCCACACCCCAGCCCCTAGGTACTAACGCCACAACACCGTAAAACCAAATCCCTATCCGTGTAGTACCCGTATCGTACCCTGCCTATAGTAACCCTAGCTCTGAATTGACTATAGCTCACGTAAGTACCGACAGACGTCCTTACGGAGGAGCTTCGCTCGCTTCATCCTTTGATCGCCATGAGAGCTGACCTGGTTTGGGGCTCTTTGGGTACAAGAGGAGGCAGCGAAGATGGTAACAGTGGCTACCAAAAAGCAGCCCCACCAACCCCTGAGGATGTCAATGACACAATGAAGCCAGAACAATACTCACCCTGACACACCCGAGCATCAGAACTCCAATCAAACAGCAGCAATAAGAGAAGCGATAACAGTTCGGACAACAATCGCAACGGCAAAAGTATGAACAACAACAAAAGCATCAACAATACACTAGCCTGACAATATTAAGACGAATAATACGCTGCGACACCTGCCACTCCGTATCTCTCGTAAACGCTGTCAGCAAACAAAAACCCAAAGCTTCGGCCAGGGCGCCTCCACTTCCAGCTGCTCGTTTCGGTGCTTCGAGACCTCCGACACGCTCTGATTGGGGTGGACTCTTTGCGGCATTTGGGCTCTGCGCTTAGGGGGTGTTCGGTTTTTCGGATAAACGTGCAACATAAAGCCTTAAAGACACAGAGCCGTAAGCCATTTTTTGGAGGAGGGACTGCAATGCACTATGCCCTGAATCCCTTCAGCCAAGCATCAAACGTCAGCAGCCCTTTTTGCATCCGGGCTTGGGACGTCGTCGGGGGAAGGTCAGCAGCCCTAAACCCCAACGTCCTCGAGTCGCTACAAGGCTTGAAGCCCAACATTCCCCGACCCCCCAAGTCAGAGCCCCATACTCCGAAAGGGAAACCGTGTTGCTTCAATAGCAGCCATAAGGGCAGCACCACATTGATTACTTCTGGAGGGTTCTAGAAGGGGGGTCGGGCTCAATGAACCCTAATCCGTACTTCCTGCTTCAACGCCCCATTGTATTGCAAGGGGCTTCATACTTCGCCTGGAGTCGGTCGCCCATGAAGCTTCAGCAGCTTTACTTCAACGCCCTCAAACCCTAGGCCCTAAGCCCTTAACCCGAAATCCTGAATCCTAAGCCCGAAGCCCTATACCCTAAGCCGGTAATTTTGAGTGGCATTGCCTCGCGGTCTTCGCCGCCGATCGTCGCTCCGGCGGCGAGCAGCGGCAGCAGCAGCAGCACGCTACCTCGGTTTTAAGGCTTCTATAGGGTTTCGGCGCTCACAATCGGACAATCCAGGCGAGGCATATGGTTCGGAGTCTGACAACTGAAACGTCACTAATTCTATACGGTTTACGGTCTAGGGTTTTGGGGCTAGGGCTTGTAGGGTCTAGGGTTTAGGGTTTTGGGGGTTAGGGCTTCGAGGGTATAGGGCACGCACGCAAATAGGGTCTGTGGTTGAGGTTTGAATTAAGTTTCAGAGTGGACACAAGCCTTTGTGGCTTGTTACTTTTACATCGGGATTTTGAAGATTAAGTAGATGTGGATCTTGGTGTTCGTTTTTATATCTACTAACTTATAACCGTCACGAGGGGGAAGCTTTGATCTCAACACGTGTCCCACTTTGGAGTCTTTAGTACTAAAGCAAGGACCCTTGTTGTGCAGCGGCAAATACCAAACCAGCAGAATCCACCAAAGCCCTAAGACTCCCCCTGCAAGACAATCCCTAATTTATGGGCCGTGATAGCTTGAATTGGGGTTTGGGGTCCCTTGTTAGGTTTATGGTATAACGCACCCCCAAACCCTCTTCTAATTGCTAAGGCCCCTACATTCCTGTCATTGTTGTGGGGCATCAGACGGACTTCAGTGTTTCAGGGTCTCGGGAGCCTTTAGGATACAGGGCTTCAGTAGCCCCAAGGCCACACACTTCGGAGTTTGCCCCACTCCCTTCGGAGCCTTCAATGACATTCAATGAAGGTTTGGGGTTTCGGGTTTAGGACTCAGGATTTAGGGTTTTAGTTTTAGGGTTTGAGCACCTGTTTTCCGATCCGCCTCAACGGGGGTTTTGGGTTTAGGGGTCCCAAAGGAACGACGAGGGAACTCTTCCTCCTCGTGTGCGACAACTTTTGTTGACATGCCAGGGCTTCTTGGATGTGGGGTTTGCGGGGGTTTGTGGCTTCTAACTACGGAGGCGGGCTTCCATGATGCCGGAATTAAAGGGTTTGTGATTGCAAGTGTGGTGGGAAGACAAACCACCACAGTATCTAATTCTTGCCATGGCCGAGTCCCGGGCTCAAGATCATGCCGGTCGGCATGGCATGGAATTTATGTATGTGACAGCAGACACCGGTGTTCGTCACGGGCATTTCGCTTACAGCTAAGCCCGGTTGGCCTGAGAGCCAAAGAAGTTTCGGCGGATGCCAGTCCAATGGTACGGTCCAATCGTGGGCTTATTGAAGAAACCCTGGCACTTAAATGGTAAATTCTTTCAAGCAAAGCCTTGATTTCTGGCTCGGCTCATCTAAGGTTGTATAACTGTAAAGCATAAATGAAGCACAAGGCTTCGCTTCTAAAACCCATATGCGTTCTAAACTGTCGATGTATAGGCCTCAAGCTACTCTAGACGACGAGTCTGAAAACCTTCATCTCGATCCTACGTCGTACACCCTACCAACCATGTTCATGGCCTTCCAGACTTTGTGTAGTTGGGACTGAAAGTGTTCAGCAACCCTCCTGAGAACAAACCGACAACCAGTGTAGATCTGGGTTTAAACAGAACCCACAGTCTACAGCCTTACGCGCAAGCCCCTAAACCCGAAGTTGTGGACCCAAAAAACGGGATCATTGCTAACAACGTCAACAGCAATTGGCCCGTACCCTCTTTCACCTATAGCGACCTGATGATCTGATGTACATGGATAGCCTGCGAAACTGTGTGCCAGCAACAGCAGAGCCTTCTCGCTTCTCACGAAAACCTAAACGCTAAGCCCTAAATCCGTTGAAAGTGCAGGAGGTGGACCCAGGGTCTTACGAGCCCAAAGCAGTGCCCCGCAACCACCCTCTCAGCCGCAGCCCTGAATCAGTGAAACAATCACTCAAGCCCTGCCTGAACCGAAAATAGCTTACCTTTTCGGGCTTCTTATATATGATTCCCTTATACATGTCCTTACAAAGGCAGGTGTGTAAGGTCCAGGTAAACCCTTGCCTTACGTAGGACCATTAAAGCCTAAACCCAACCTTTAAAACCCAGAAGGCAGCCCAGAACAACAGCAGGATAGCCCTGAGCCGTCCCACTTGGAGAACATCTTATCGTTGCCTGGCATGTCCTCAGCCGGGGGGATCCGACATGTTTCGCTGCAAACGAATATCAATATCCAAAAGGCTCTCCGTTCTCGAAACCCTAGTCCTAAAAGAACACACCAAGAAACCCCCAGCCTTAACGAGGAAAGTTGTTAGATGTTACCTACTCGGCTATCATAACGAGGATGAAGATATGAGCTGCCTTCCTTGATGCGGCATGTTGAAGGAATTCCTTATCAAGACTTGACCCAAACACCAACACAAGTGCCGAACCCCAAGCTTGGAGCCCGTCCCTGACATAGTGAGTTGAAGGAAGCGGCACCATGCACCCAGACTTACTAAGAGTCTAGGGTACAGGGTTGAGGTCTTTGGGGTGCACGGTGTTTTAATTAAGCCCAAGGGACACCTAGGCAGGCACGGACTTTCCGGTATTCGGTTTGGCGTCGGGCATTCACACGTTACAGTAAATTTAAGTCGAAGCCCGCAAAGATGCCGCAGAGAGATGCTGCACACGGAAACTGACAATGGGCAAGGCCAGTGCGACCTTTACAACAAAGGGAATGTAGGCTGCAGCAGCAAGAGGAACGAGAACAGCAAGTCCTAAGTACCACAGAAGAGGCCCCCATCAATGAGACCCCTGAAAAGCATAACAACGGACCGCTTTTGCTGACCCACTAATTGCCCTGAGCCCTGAACCTGAGACTTTCAAGGCTGACCGGAACTCTGTCACTGCCTGTCCCTCGGGCCACCCGGCCATGTCAGTGCCCTCTGCAGCTGCCTTTGCAAAGGTGTTGGTTTGGTGCGGTGCGTTGCATGTTACACATACATGTACATTCTTTAGCAAAAACACATACTCTACATACATAGACAGACAGATAGACAGACAAACGTGCATACAAACATATCCATCCATCCATCCATCCATCCACCCACCCACGCATGCATGCATGCATACATACATACACACGTACCGCCAGACATACGTACATTGAAACGAACAAACATACAGACATGCATTACTGTTGTACATATACATGCATAGACATATACACATGCACTGCTATAAACTGCATATATCCATGCATACTTACACACACGTATGCACGCACGCACGGACGGACTGATATATGCATGTAGAAGCGCGCACACAACATCTTCTGTACCCACCTAAACATACATATAAATATGTACAAACAAATGAACGTATAATTACATACGGACTATACATGTATATATATATATATATATATATTTGTTTATTTACTTATTCAATATTTTTCTATGGGTTCAGAGTTGGGGGTCTGAGCTGGGCTTCGGATACTGTCATGCAAACAGTCTTGCCTCAGTCCTAAACCTATTCTTGGGGTCTGCGTTCTTTTTTGCAAGCCTCACACTTCCACGCTTGAAACTCAACCCGGCGCCCCAAACTACCCTAACCACCCAAACGCTAACACAACCCCGGACAGAAAACACCCAAGGGGGTTCGGGGTTTCTTTTTGGAAGCCCCCTTGGGCTGAATACGTCAGAACCGGCTGGCTAACCCAAAAGAAGATAAAAGTTGGCTCCTTTGACTTAGGGCGCCTCATCATCTCGGATGGCCCACCAATCGCTGAGGACCTCGAGAGATCGACAAGTTCAGTGTTCTTGGGAGTTTCCGAAAATAGGGGACTCTAATATAGTACCCTAAATAGTAGGATCCTTATTATAAGGACCCAAGATAAGTTACCCCTAATTTTCGAAACTCCCATTTGTTTTTGGGGGGGTTGACACTCAGACTCGGACAAGCCTGGCAAGGTCTGCTGAGATGCAGGGTCTTCGGCGTTAACTCGTTTTTTGGATCGGCTCATCCAAGCAAGCGGTGCTGTCAAGATCTGCTCTAACCCCAGGGGTTTAGGGCTTTCGGGGCTGAAGGGTTCCGGGGCTGCACGGCATGGGGCCCTTGGGGCCCTTGGGGCTTCAGGGTTCGGTGATTTGGGGGATTGAGGGGTATCCGACAAAAAGGTCTATATACTCCTCCAAAAATACAGGGGGTCTTAAAATCTTGAGCTCAGGGTTCGGGAGTTTAAGCTTACACGATGCCTGAGCTCGGCACATAGTCTCTTCCCAGCCCACTCGAGTGTTGCATCCATGCGCACTCTGACGGTCCAAAAAAGTCTTTTCAAAGAGTATTGGGAAGTGGTGGTGGTCCCGACAGGTCCACTTCCACTTAGAGTGGGAAAACCAAACGACCTGAGACGATGAAACCGGAGACTCCAAATCCTTGAGACAGAGGCCCCCACCCCCGTTCCTTTGCCGGGCTCCCAACTTATACTCCATATCACAAGATCCTGAGATGATCCGGGATGAATTGTCGAACGCCTCCGCAACATAAGCTATCTTCCACGCCCAGCCGGAACCTAAGTATCCCTCTTCCCTTGCATCTTGCAAGCCAGAAAACAGGCTACAACCCTGAAACAGAAGTAGATTCCCACACGAGCGCAGGTAAGTCTAAAACCATACCCCAGTTGGTTGCAATGCAAAACGCAGGTGATCTCTGCTGGGGCCCTGACGAAACCCGAGAAGCCTGAAGGACGAAGGACTTGGGATTGTGAGCCCAGCAGTTGGGGTCTGTGAGCCCGTTACAAACAGGATTCCAGCAACATTTAGCTGCGAGACGCTTCTGTTTATGTGGGTCTTCTTCGTTGCCTTTCTGCAAAGGCAGCAGGTTGTCAGGATTCAGGGCAGCCTGCGGGGCTCAACTTCTAGCACATGTCACTGGTCGCGGGTGTGGGGGGGGGGATGGGGGTGGGGGGACTCTTCAATTATGACGCCTCATAATTCTTATAAGTCTTATAAGGGTATCTGGGGCCTTGCTCGGCTAAGGAAGGCTTGAAGCCAGTTTTTGGGACCTAAGAGCTATCTGCTCAACATTGGCCTGCAGCTCCAAGTACTTCGCATTAGAGCATCCGGTCACACATGCCGTGCAGGGCACAAGACCCTAAACTTCTAAACTCAAAACCCTAAACTCTATCATCGAGGTGAAAGATGCAAGGCGAGTGTCTACCCATAGGCCCCATAGTTGTTCCTTTGGGATCGCCGTATAGGATTCTAATTATGAACCACAAAATGGAACTACTATGGGGCCTGCTACTATGGGGCCTGTGTCTATAGTCTCGTCGCTGAACGACCGTTGTGAAAGGAGCATGCTCGCAGTAGTGCCGGGGATGCTGCCATCATCCAGTATATCTCTGCAAATTCCGCTGCGAAGGTGACAGTGTCTAAAGGGTGACTATGGATATGTTGGCAGGATCGTCAAACCCCCAGATACTGCGAAAGCCGCCTGTTACGGGGGATCGGGATGAGCAGATTTCGAAAGGCGGGATCTATTGCGAATCTTTGGCTCGCTTTTGCTAGCAACATGGGAGCTTTTGAAGCATAAGGTCATAACGAAGAAAGCCGAACGATTTTGTACTGCGAAGGCACGCTCGAGAGCACCTCAAACCGACATGTCCTTCCATGAGGCACTAAGACAACTAAGAGCTGAATGAACCTGCCCAAATCCCCTCAGTATCCCTAAGTCCCAAATCCGCAACAACATCTAAACAAGAAGCACCCGAACCGAAATACAAAACAACAAAACACAACGACCAACAACTAGAACGAGGCTCTCACCCATCCCTTGCTTCAAGTCGTCGTTGAGAATGCCGCCGTTGCTGCAGGCCTAAAATCAGATCTTCACAGCTAAAGCCTCAGGTCTATGGGAGTACCTACACAAAAGACAAGGTTGAGCCCCCAAACCCCTACAAGGCCACACCCAACATGAAAGGGCCTCCAAGTCGACCTAAGGTTTGTTGAGACGAAGCTCTGGGCGTAAATGTGGACCGACATTGGGCTTTCTGTGTTTCGGACAACGGCTCTTCACGAGTCTGCTTGCCTGGGCAGATGAGGGTTTATCCTAGCGTGACAGGTCCTTTAAAAACTTGTGTTGAGTAGATGATTACCGAAACCAGCATACTAAATCCTTGCAGAGACATCCGCATGTGCCTATGTTGGACCCTCCGGGACAACACCACAGTACCACCTGCCTGTTTCCCGTTGACCTTGTTGTAGGAGCACCTTGGCCGTGTAACAACAAAGGTGCTGCGTCACTTTCTGATTTCGGCTTCGTTTCTCGTGTCAACATAATTTGCTACTGTCCTATGTATGGAAGACCCCAAGAACACTGAAACATCTTCATCTCTCACACTCCAAAGAGAAAGCTGTGGCTATTGAAGGACAGGGTCTTGCGTATCTCATAATGTCTTTTAGGAGCTACACAGCGATGGTGGTAGTAGTAGTAGTAGTAGTAGTAGGAGCAGTAGTAGTAGTAGTAGTAGTAGTAGTAGTAGTAGTAGTAGTAGTAGTAGTAGTAGTAGTAGTAGTAGTCGTGGTGGTGGTGGTGGTGGTGGTGGTAGTAACTAATAGCTTAGTAGCTGAATGGGTCCTTTTGAGCTTTAGGGTTTGCTGTGCTGCGAGACTCGGGACTGACGGGCTTTCTTCTGTAGAGCTTTACATCAGGATGTTCGGGGGGTGTGGGGCTTGGGGCTGACTGGGTTTCTCTGTAGGCCTAAGCCTCTAACTACTCTTGTAAGATGTAGGGTTGGGGGTGTCGCAGGGTGTCGTCTTCCTGCCTGGGCCTGAACCATGTACCGCCGAATTACGTCCGAAAGGAAGTTGAACAGGTCAGAGCCCATGAAGACTCACACGAGCTCCAGCACTAAAGCCGTGACCCTTCTGGACTTTAGGGCTTTGGGTACAATGTCGAGGCCTGCGGGTTAGGCTTCAAGTTGAGCCAGCAGCTTTACAACTTGAGTGAGGCCACTCGCTCACATGACGTAGATGATGTTAATGGTTGCGCTAGTTTGCCAAAGAGAGGACAGCTCTTAGGATACCAAACATGAATCCCGCGTTTTGGAAGACGGAGCTGAACAGTTTTAGCCGAGTACTTTTGCTTTCCGACTTCTGAAGGCATGTCTCGTTTGCTTCTACGCTTCACCTAGGAGAGGCACAGTCCTCAACAAGGGCGCAGCCCTGGCTTCAACTGGGGCTTGCAGGATCGAGCAATCCAGTTATCGCAGGGGTTGGGGCTGGGGGTTTAGGGCATTTTTGGTTTATGGGTTCGGGTTTCTAGGGCTTGTTGCTTCTGAGGTACCATGCTCTCGCGTAGACGCAGGTCACGAGTCAAGGTGAAAACGCCCGGCTTGCTTCCCCTTTTTCAAGCCTAAACCCTTTTAACCCCAAGCCCTAAACTCCATCGTTGCATCAACAATTAGCCGATTTCGTATTGCCAAATGCGACCTACTCTAGGGGGATATTATTCTATAATTAATAATGAGGAACCACCAAAAAAGTGTATGTATATGTGTATATATATATATATATTATAGGATTTTTTGAGGTCCCTCTATTCCTCAGCTACTAAGCTCGGACGAAGGCTCGGGGGCATGTCTTCATTAGCTTTCGGGCTTCGTCTTGGGGTTTAGGGCTTTTGGGGGCTTTACAGTGCGGCTTAAGGGTCGAGGGCGACTCGATGATGTAGTGCCAGGTACTGTGGATCCGATTGTGAAGTGCCACAAACGACGGATCTATGACCGCCAAGCCGGTATGCTAGCAAGTGTTCGGCTAACTTGGCCTTACAGCAAAGCCGAAGACCATTAAAACTTGTGAAAAGTCTGAACCCTCACTCAACCTGCAAGCGAAGGGAAGCAAGCCGATACAAGCGAGCACAAGGGTTGGCTTTTAGCCAACCCCTGAGGAGGGAATTGTTCGGGTCGGGGGTATCAGAACGGCTTCGGGCTTTCTGTTTTAGGGCGGGTTTTAGCTTGCCGTTGAAGACTGAAAGAGGTTCGGGACGACCAGAGCTGACCGAATTCACAGAATGCCTGCGCTCTCCTAGCCAGGAAGAGCTGTTGACTTTTCGAGGTCTAGTATCCTGGAGTAACTTATAGTATGTTATGATGGCTTATATCATGTTGTATGCCTACTTCAGCCGCCGAATCTTCACAGCCCCCAAACGCGGAGCCTTGTCGCACGAAAATGTGCCGTACGGACCCCGGAACGGTTGCAAACCTCCCTCAAGTCCCGGGTCTAGGGAGTACTTGGAGGACCGCGGGGAGGTGATCAGCAGGGGTATGGCTGGGTGTTGTATCTAGTTAACCCAAAACCCCCCAAACCGAAAACAACACCCCTAAACCCTTGTTACGCTAGGCGCGGAAGAACCCCCCAACCCAACTTGCCATGTCTTCGGAGATGAGAGAGGAGTTCCGATAGGCGTCAGGTGTAGTGTGACGTGTACTTTTTGAAACTTGCTTGGCCGATACACGAAGTAGTAGTAGTAGTAGTAGTAGTAGTAGTAGTAGTAGTAGTAGTAGTAGTAGTAGTAGTAGTAGTAGTAGTAGTAGTAGTAGTAGTAGTAGTAGTTCATGTATACTCCCGTGTGTTGTCTTGAGGGCCATTATGTGCCAAAGAGTTATCTAAGATTGATGAGGAAGCAAATGATGTGCAAAGTCACGGGAGCATCCTCAACACCACTCCCAGACGTAGCCCAAGCTACGGCTCAAAATATTTTTAGACATGCCACGGCCGAACAGCCTACTACTTAGGCTGCTAGCAAAGTACGACGCCAAACCCCATTTTTGACTTCCACGCTCGACCATCGTTTGGGGTGTGGATTTAGGCCCAGCCCTGCAGACCCACAAACGCACACTGAACTCTCTGTCCTTCCTTGCCACGCTGTCGGCTCTCGCTCTCCCCTTCTCCTTCTCTCCGTGTCTCTCTGTCCCTAACTCTCTCTCCCTCTCTCTGTGTCTCTCTTTCTCTGCCCTTCTCCATCTAGCTGCGTACCACAGACACCGAAAAAGATGATCCATGCGAATCTGATGATGAACCGCCTGAAGCCTTACCTAAGCCTCTATCCTTTTGGCTCTTCCTGGCAGTCAGCTCCAGACGCAGACCGCCCAACGGTCTCGGGCACTCTTGAAAACTGAAACTGCGGGTTGAGGGTTTAGGTCTTACGCTACCTTCACAAATGAGAGAACAATAGCGCTACAGGTCAGGCGCCCTCGACCGTGCAGGGGCTTCTGCCATCAGAGACGGGCGCAATGATGGCAGGCACATCGAAAGGCTGAGGGGCTTCTGAGTCAACCCAAGCGGCTAAAAGCCCTAGAGTCCTAGAGTGCGACCCCTTGATTGGTTCTTGAGGCCGCAGAGTAGGACCCCTACCGGCTTGTTCAGGCACAATGGCTTATTTCATGATCCAGAGAGGTAACTCAGCTCCCCAAACAACACCCCCACCCCCCCTCCTCGCATTATAGGGTTCCCAAAAGCCCAAGCCCTGAAGACCTCAGCCCCTATGGGTTTTTAGCCGTTTCGCATGGCTTGCAGTGCAGTGAGGACACTGAGTTTAAATTCACAGGTTGAGAGTCTCAATGGCTTGAGAACCAAAGTTTCCGAGTAACCTGAACCGAATCCCCGTATTACACTGATAGCTGAACTAGGGTTGAGGGGTAAAGCATAGCTGAAATAGTCAAAAAAAGGTATGGAAAGGGACAGGAAGCATGATGAATAGGATTGTAACAAAATCGTCAAAACACCCAAGCCCTAAACCCCTCATCTAGTACATAATCGGTTGAGAGATCACTCGCGACTCTGCATTAAAAAAGACAACACACCAAACACACAGCTTGCATAGACGAATCCTCCCCAGACCCTTTTTGCATGAAAACCCAGTACCGGATTCTGTGCTCTGCTGGAGCCTCCCGGATTTCTCAGAAGATCGGCCTGACCGTGCCAGGCTCGCCTTGCAGCTTGTTGCGCATGGGTTTGTGGTTCAGGACTGGGGGTGTGTTCCCACAGCGGAACATGCGGTGCGAGGTCGGAAGGGAAGATTGAGCGGCGAAAGCGGCTAGTAAGGCTCAGACCCTTCAGGTGCGGGGTTGTAAGTTGAACACTAATCGCCGGTCGGGAACACTACCTCAAGGGTTCCATCCCAGGTTCTATTCAAGGCGCATGTATTTTGTATGACCACGAAGTGGTCGGGTCTGCAGGTTCGCCATCACCGTCACAGCCGCTGGTGTCTCCAATGTAGAGCGCTTCGAGTTGAGGGTGGAGAGGGTCGCCGGTAATGTCGGGCCGTGATAACCGCACCTTCGTGCAACGGCCTCAATAGCCGAATACCTATTCCACTCCTCATTCAGTGAAAGGGGGATCTCAATCAGGGGGGAATCATTGGACCTAGTCAGGAAAGTCGCAAGTCATCCAACCGGGGTTTTTGTACTTGGAATTTGTACCACAGGTCTCTAATCGTTCGTGTGGGATTTATCTGAAAGGTTCGCGGGTGTTTAAAGGAGTCGGCTGGTTGAGCTGATTTCCCGAAAGCCCACGGCCTGTATGCTCAAGTCGCCTAACTAAGAATTCCCAGACATCAACAACTCGTCTCATTCCCCGACGAACTCAGTTTAACCCCCGCGCAGGCCCTAACCCGAAACCCTTAAGAACTTAGAGCTAAATCTCCAAACCCTCGGGACGCGCCTCCAGCCGCCGGGGAGAGGCGCAACCGTGTTTGCTGTCTCTGTTCACGGTCCTTCCAAAGGCCATAAGACAAGGGCTTATGGCATCAACAACCACCTCACCTCAGCATAAGCCTTGTGAGTTGAGCAAGCTTATATAAGCTTGGCCAAGAGCTCTCTCAACCGCAGCTTACTCCTTGCAACTCCCTATTTCACTACATGTGTACTCCAAAAGCCCTATTCTACTGAACAGGGCGCGTTTCGTCTCGCACTTCAAGCACAAGATCGTTCCCAAGAGTCTGCCAGAAGCTCTACCCTCTCGTGCCTTAAGTCCGCAGAGTTCCTAAATGCCAATAAAGTCTGGGGACCCTGAAGCAGAAAACTCAAAGCTCGCGTTGGACGAAACATCCTTCTCCCGAAAGCTAGAACAAGCCCGCAATACGAAGTGGAACCCTCGACCCTTAATCACAAACTAGCCGTACACCTGAAGTCGAAATTAAGCACTACAACCTTGACCCTGCATCGCCCCCAACTCGGTTCGCAGGCCTTTTGCTCTTGCCAAAGTTCGACCATCACGGCTTCCTCCCGATACTGGAGCTGCATGAGCGATGCCTCGTGATGCTCTTCTTGGAGTTTCGGTGCAAACTGTGCAAACAATTGCCTTTGTTTGCTTCAGGATTTGGAGTTTGGGGGTTTGTTTGTGTTGGTGTTGTGTTTGCAGTCTAGAGTGCCCCCGCATAGAGCCGGTGACCACATCAAGCAGAGACTTGATATGACTATGACCTAAGTTTTGCATGGGGCTGTCTGCTACTCTCACAAGATCGAACCCCGCATGTTCCATAGCAAGAAAAGCGACATTTTGAATAGCTTAGCTTTGTAGGATTGTCCTGCAGCGCTGCAGGCGTGGCTCCAAGAACCCAAACCCACTCAGACTATTCTGTGTCCAAATTAAGCACAATGCTTCAGTTATCTGAAGCTACGCCCCAGATCCTACCTGGTGAGCTTTTCCTTAAACCCACAAGAACCACAAGCCGGCCTGTGTTTTCGATGCACGCTCTGCGGCCGCCTCACACATGGCCTCCCAGTAGCAAGTTCAGCCAAAATGCGCCCAAAGTGGATGGAAGTCGAAGATGTTCGACATCAGGTACCCCTAAAAGGCTAGGTCATCGGTTAGAAGCCGCTGGGTTCAAGTGGTCTGACGCATTAATGAGCTGGGAAGCAAACGGGCCTTAAAGAGCTAGACAGCTTGAAGGAGCTTCTGCGGGTAATGAAAAACCAGGAACACAAACACCAGGGCTTTTATCTAAAACTCCAAGTCGTTCCTTCGCATGCGAAGCCCGAATCCCAGCCTGTACCCTGAAGTGAGTGCGAGGCTTCAGCGGAAAACAAGGAAACACACAACCAAAACAATGTTTAGGGGATTATACTAGAGTTTCGGCGCTCACACTTAGAGTTTAGGGATCCCCAACCTCGAAGCAGTATGAGCTCTAAACATACCGCCACAAGCGTGGCCTTGGAGGCTGCAAGGGCGCGACAGCGCCTCGCTCGACTCTGCGGACCCGAAACCCAAAGCCCTTGCGGCTTAGAGGGCTTACCTTGATGCAAACAAACTACCTGTTTAAGAAAGCATGATTAATGAGGAGCCCCTGCAGGTAGGTTGTTGGGGTTTGGGCAGGGTTTAGGACCGTTTAGGCGAGGGGCCCTTAAAAAGGAAACTCACCTCTCACCCGCGCTGCTGAGCTCCAGGCGTGAGGAGAGTTGGCTCTGGACCTTAGTTGAATTTCTTCGCATGGTTAAAGCCCGAAGCCCAAACGACCCTAGGCAGAAAGGCCATGAAGCTAAACGGTCAGAACTGCAGCGTGTGACCAATAGGGGGTCTCCCACCTGAACATGGAAGCCTGACAACAGAAATCATGATCCTACGACTGCGAGCCTTGAGGACGTTTCTGTCAAGGGCTGACTACATCAACCCTGATAAACAGGAGGGTCTTGGTGCTAGCTCTAGACGAGTAAAACCCCAACCCGGTAACCCGACATCTCGAATCTAGAACTTGTGCCCGAAACCCGCAGTCCCAACACCCCGACCCGTGAACCCAGCACTACCCCCCCCCCCCCACAAGATCAGCCAAGATACAACTGGTGATCCTCGGATGCATAGCCATGGAAGCTTCGAGGGAATGCAGCAGAAAAAAACAACGCTCAGAAGGCTGCTTTTTCGGAGAAGTGCCGAATGCAACTTGTTGGGGCTGCAGACGTCTTCGCAGATTGTCGTCTTGAATACCCATGCCCGCACGTGTTCATGGTTTCTTCATCAAACAACAGGATCCATATTCTGAGCCCTATTCACCAGATTACCATTTCCTAAAACGCAGAAAACTTGCCGCCGAGAATCCAGGGTGACACCTCCGCCTGCCGCGTCACGGGCTCCTGGCCGAGGGAACACAAACCATGGGGCTCGCTCAATCCATGGCTCGCTCCCGTATATTTATGTGCTCGCTCTCTCTCTCTGTCTCTCTCTCTTTCTCTCTCTCTCTCTCTCTCTCTCTCTCTCTCTCTCTCTCTCTCTCTCTCTCTCTCTCTCTCTCTCTCTCTCCTCTCTCCTCTCTCTCTCTCTCTCTCTCTCTCTCTCTCTCTCTCTCTCTCTCTCTCTCTCTCTCTCTCTCTCTCTCTCTCTCTCTCTCTCTCTCTCTCGCTCTCTCTCTCCCTCTCTCTCTGTCTGTCTCTCTCTCTCTCTCTCTCTCTCTCTCTCTCTCTCTGTCTCTATCTCACTCACTCTGTATGTGTGTATATATATATATATATGGGTACATGTGTACATGTATATGTATGCGTGACCCGTACATATATGTGAAACATACAGGAAGATAGACCGACCAGCAGCTAGATAGGAAGGTAGGTAGATTGACAGACGGATAGATACATGTACGGATGGATGGATGGATGGATGGACGGACGGACAGAGATGGACGTATGGATGGATGGATGGACGGAGGGATGGATGCATGGATGGATGGATGGATGGACTGACGGAAGGATAGATGGACAGATGTTCAGATGGGCACAAAAGGTAAGTAGATAGGTATAGGCAGCAGGATATAGGTCAATAGATGGGATCGCACCAAACCTTCGGCAATCATTACTGCCCTCAGCTAGACCCTAAACTCTCGTCAAATGGGAGTTGGGTTACAGTGGGAGGGAAGTCGGTCCCTAAATGGACTTGTTTGAGGATTTGGGGTTTTGAGCTTAACCATGTGTGATGATATTCCAGATAATAACCTTCTGCAGCGTCCGCATGCCCCAAAAACACAAAACCCGAAGTCCATACACACGCTGAAGTGGTCCATTCTGTCAGTCCAAAATGTGCTATTATCGTTCCTACACGATTATCAAACATATACCCATTCGTGTGACTCGGCCCTGTCAACATTCTTCACAGGACCCCGCAGCACACTCAAAGCCCGATCTACTTGTATTCCGTATGGAACCTTCAAGGGAATCCCGTTCGAATTATGAGGTCTCTGCGATCGCGATCGGGTGGTGGGGCTCGGGTTTAGGGTCTCTTCCCATGAGCACCTCTGCCACTGGACGCTCCGGCGCACGCACAGCCTCGAGCACGCAGGAACCTACTCCAAAAGCTGTATCTCAAACTATAAGCTCAAAGCCCTGAAACCCTAAACCCTAACAGTCTTAGCCTCATCCCTGTAACCCGCAATAAACCCTGCACCATTCCCCTAAAGCCTGTAGCCCTAAACCGGTGTGTCAGGAGGGCTTCCGTGGAAACCCGCTTTTGGGATTTCGGAGGCTAGGATTTGCCCCAGGGATCTAGGAGTGTCCTGTTTTGAAGGTTGGCACTCTTGAGGCCTTTGGGCTAGGCCACGGTGATTCGAAACGGGCCTTGGTCCACGGTGTGACCCTCCGAACCCAGCACTGTGAGAAACTGATGGGCAAGGTAACAGTATGGTATGGGGCTTTCGGGTTAGAGTTTGGTTTATCTGCTCTTTTCGGGCACCCAAACCCTAGGCTGGTATCCTGCCTGCCGCATGTCGACGTTGTCGCTGGGCGAAGCGCTCGGGGAAGACTCCAAACGAACTCGTTCCACGGCGGCTTCCTTTACGAGGCTCGATACTTGCTTTGTTACTTTCCCTCTGGGTCCAGAGTACCGAATATAACTTGGTGTGGGAAAAGACAGTTCATTGGTAGTACTACTACAAACGTCTGACTGGGGATCTGTGCTAGCTAGATCGTGCTTAGCCTTTGAAGGCCTTCCTGAAAATGAGGTAAGCTGGATGAAAGTATCGTGTACGTCCCACTTTGTTCGAACAACTCCGTCGTTCCCGCGCAAACTCGGGTCGTTTTGACCAAAGCATTTGGGGGCTTTTGGGGGTTGAGACGGTCTGTGAATGCTATGACTCCTACTCTTACGATTCCTATGATACTGCTGTTAATTACTCTACTGTTGGAGTTCCAGGGGCTCAGATGCAAAGCTTGGCCAGGGAGACCTGTAAGACCCACTCGAAAGCCCGCTGATTTCAAGACCGCCTCCGCAGTTACCCGGTTTGGGAAAGAAACTGAAAGACAAACCCTTTGCAACCCTACAAAACAGCAAAGAAGTAATATACAAGCTGGCCTTGTAAACGCTAGACCCCTCTATAAGCCTCTAAAACGCAGCAATTAAAGTGCCACTCGTTTGGAGCGCATGCCCTTAGCCCCGCATCGACAACAACACTCTCACCATTCACCATGATTCTGCCTAGGCCCTACACCCGACGCACTGACGCTAAACTTTTCCCAAGATCTGAACCGTCCCTAAACCCTAAACCCTAAACCAAAAATCGTGAACCGTACGGTCCTCCTCCCCCACCAGCTGCCGAGCCGACATCTTCCTCGGTGACTGATCCATGCAATACTCTCCACGGAGCGGATTCCCTAGGGGGCTGAAGAGTGAGTCGGCATAAATTCTACCACAGTTGTAGTAGTGAGGAGCCCGAAAAATCAAGGTTAAGGGCCTGTTAGCGGGCTTCAAAGGGGTGCCTGGTTTCGGGTCCTGGCATTAAAGGAGCCACAATCTAAGCCAAAGGCAGAACCTTAGAAACCCGATTTAGCAGAGTTTCAAATTCTGACTTGGTTAAATTTCCTATTTTGTAGGAAGTCCAGGGCTGCAGGTAGGGCTTCCAGAGCTTCAGGGTTCAAGGGTTTAGGCCTTAAGTTTGAAGGAATTCGGGTGTAGCTACGGGCCACTTCAGCTATAGCTAAGCTTGCTGAGCCTTAAATCCGGAGCAAAATACCTTAAACCTCGAACCCCAAAGAAAGCGTTGGAGTCGCCAAGCGGCCCGAGTGTTCGTGCCTGCTCCAGCTCACTCGTTCCAGGCGAGGCCCAGAGAACCTGCAAGGGTGCAGGAGGGCTTTGGAGCTTAGGGTTTAGACCTAAGGGTTGAGGGTTCTCACTCACGAGGCTGTACGGCGTAAGTCGTTTGCGGGGCTTCGGGTTTGGGGTTTGGGGCCCTTTTGTGCCTGGATAAACGCTACCCGCTACCCCTGAACCTTGTTAAAAGGCCCCTCTTAGAGGCAAGGGTACGGATACACCCTGAAAGACAGGCTTGGCGGCTGGATCTCATGTTCGGCAATGCACATGGTCTTCTTGCCTCTTGAGTGGGGGGGACGTCGTGACCATAATTGCGTTGTCGCCCTCTGCCCCAACCCGACGCTTGAAGCCCTCGTCGAATCTACTCTCGCCTTGGCACAAGGATGTACCGTCTCGTCGGGCTCTGGAATTTGGGCTCGGATTAGTTGCTTCAGCGAGGTAAAGCAGCCTCATGGGGCCTCATGTCAAATCCTTCAAAACACAAAATTAACAATAATAACAATAACAACCCTCCGACATTGCGTAAACGGGCGATGGTTCTAGTATTAGCAAAAATACCGATAATAGGACGAAGAATCATCACTGCAATCAAATAAAAATGCTACGAAAAAACCATAAGAACCCGCCCAAGGACGCAGAGGCAGCTCTGCCTCGCACGAGTCCGCATGGTCGCTTGGAGATGCGCTTGGGGAAGATGCCAGGCAAACTCGTTCCACACCGACCTCCTCTATTGATGTGGTGTCTTACAAGTTAGAGTTTCGGCTCTGGGAATTTATACTGTAAATATTGCTAGCTATCGAAGCTTCCTCTCTTAAGCGGCGAGTAGCAGGCGCCACCTAGTAAACCCTACACTTTCAACCGCTGCAGGGTGGTGACAAGCTGTTTCTGTGAAGTGAAATCCTAGATTCCTAAATCCTAAACCCTCCTTTCTTGGGAATATGAACTCTAAGCCCTGTAGTCCCTCCTTCCGCATTTTGGCACATCTTGCTCAGCTTCCGGCTTCTGGAAACTTCTGGGCTTAGGGCTTTCTGTGCTCAAATCGCGATAGCATGGGCTAAAGGGAACTCCAGAAAGTTGGAATATGGATTAATGGTAGGATCCCCTATAATTTACAATTTACCTTAACGGGGTTACGATAATGATATTCCAACTTTCTGGCTTCTACTGCAAGGATGTTTACTCACAAGTATACGAACGAATACCAATAAAACAGGACTACTGATTGCTAGGGCTTATGGATAAAGCCTGATAGTCTGTACTAGAAGGAACCGTGAAAGGAACCTTAAATTCCTTAAAAGGAACCTTTCGGCTCTTTTCGCTTTCGCCTCGAGAGGCTCATGGTTTCCACAGCCAGAGTACATATTCACAAGGCCTGAATTTCTCTAGTTGGTGGTTTGGATAGGATGAAAACTGTACATTTGTACCCCTTATTTGGTTTAAGTACCCATAAAAATCTAAAGTGCTACCCAACTATGACAAAGTTATGGGGGTTTTAGGGTTCAGGGTTAGGGCCCTCGGAAACCCTGGAGGCGCGCCTGACTCTCGACCTCATTTCCTGGACCCCAAAACCCCCAAAAGATGACCCTAAACCACGAATCCCTCAACCCTACACCGACCGATATGACGCCTCAACCAACCAAATCCCTCGGCCCGGAAACCCAGGACCTTAAATCCTAAACCCTAGACCTTAACTCTAAACTTTACTTGAAAAGCCCTATAAACCCTACATGCGTACTAAACCCTAAACCCTTAACTTTAAACTTTACTTTAAACGCCCTGCAAGCCCTAAACGCTTTGTCCTTAAACCCTAAACCCACGAACCCCTCGACCCGGAGACCTACAACAGCAAAGACCGTCCTCGCCCTTCACGAGCTGCCGGGCTCGGAGCGATAAGCTCCTCAGGCATCTCTGAGCTGAAACCCTGAACCCTAAACAGTAAACTCGGTTGAGGGTTTAGGGTTGCAAACCCTACAAACCCGTCAAAACCTACAAACCCTCAACCCTAAACCGCGCTTAATAATATTCTAGTGTGTGTATATCTTGATGTGGAACGGGTGTGTGCATTTAGAGCTGACTCACACTACAGAACAAGCCCTCAAAGTGCCCACCCACGTGGCTAGCAGGAAATTGAAACGTTCAGTCCCCTGGGCCATCAACTGAGAGCAAATACCTATATTTCAGACCTTCATAGTCTACGGGCCACCAGTTTGAAGTCATCTGTCGGAACCGAACATTTTCAGGGAGTATTGCAGACTTCAAGCGCGTGTTCTACAAAAGCAATCTACAAGTTGCAAAAAGTTTTGCTCCCGAGAGTCTGCTCGCTTGCTCCGGGCGACACGGGGCTGGCCACCAGGGGAACCTCCAACGGTTCACTCTCAAGCCAAACAATCAACACCCTAAAGCCTAAAGTCAACCGATGTACAACGATTTGTGGTCCTGTTACATCGAACTATATTCTAAGCCGTCTTGAGGCCCTGCGAAGCCGCTGGTTTGGCAATGCCCAAAAGACCTAAAACAAGATGAACCCAAACCGTAACACACAGACCCCCAACAACCCCTACTAGATGGCTCTAAATGATTCGATTGACTGCGTGTTGGGGCACAAGTATACTCTATTGTACAATCGGCACTATACAGGCATACCACTGCCAGCGATTCAATCCTTCAAATGTGATCACAACGGAGAACTGCCTCAGATCCCAGGCGGAAAAAGCTGGAGGAGGCATGCAGAAGTTCCTGACACAGGGGATTTTCGGCTCTTGTGCTTTTTTCCTCCTACTTGGCAAGGACGAAGCCTTGGCCCTTGAGCTTTTCGGGTACAGGGTTTCCTGACTTCTCGGGCTTTAGTGCTTTGCGGCTTCAGTGTCTAAGGTTCCGGCCCTACAGTCGCTAAACACCTCTGAAGAGTAAACCGCTTGTCAACTGCATGGCTTAGTTGAGGGGCGGTTGAACGGCAAGAATGTTGACCTAACCAGCAACAATGATAACGGTCATGACTGAAAAACTAGCTACTCAAATAATAACCAACTATTTCAATTTGCTGGGTACTCCAAGCCCCAGTCTCAAACCCTAAACATTTAAACCCTAATTACAGTAGGAGTCTTGATCTTAGGCATTGCCATCAATATAGGGGTGCTTGTCAAAATTAGGGTCCCTTTTTGGGTCCTTATTCTAGCACGGCACCTATTTAATATTTAGGGATCCCAAAAAGGGACCCTAATCTTGACAACCACCCAATAGAGTGGATCCTACTTTTCAAGGCTACAGCTGCTACGAGAAACGAGCCCTGGGCTTCCAGGTCTGCACAAGCCGTGTACAGGGCCTTTATAGACTTGGTTTTGGGGTTTTGGTTTTAAGATTTAAGATACTACAGTGTTACTAAGGAACATCAGAGTAGTAGGCTGTTCTTGCATACCAGAAGATATTGAAAATTGCAGTTCTACACTGCGCGAAACACCCTTAGACAAGCACACACCGCCTATCAACAGACGTGGGCTTCAGGTTACGATTTGGGCAGATGTTTGGTTTGACCACGGTGTGGGGCTGATTTCTCTTCGTGATGTCTCATGACCTCTGCGGAGGTCCCTTACGGAACGTTAAGCCTGTCCGCTAGAACCCCTCAACCTTAACCCCTGAATCCCAAATCCGAGATTCTGAAACCCGTAGCGCCAAAGGCTTCAAGTCTCAGGGTTGAGGGATTTAGGGAATTAAGGGGTTACTAGTAGCTTTTTGATGCCAGCACTCCGAGAGTACCTAGGCATGGAACGCCGGAGGTCAACTTGCTCTCGAGGACACGGCCGAAATGAATGCTGCTGGCCAAGGTTTAAGCTTCAAATCACCACGACATGAAACACTTCGATAAGGATAATGACAATAAGAATGACAAGAGGAGAATAAGAATCACAACAAAAACATACCGATGTTCTACATCACACACTCGAGGACCTGGTCGACGGCTTTCGGCTAAAAAGGAAATGCTGCGTATTAATATCGGAAAAATGAGAACAGAATATGTGTACGAGCAAGTGGACAAGCAGTCATTTAATCTTCCTACTGTCGATTGGAAAACACAACGATAGTAGCACTGGGCATCAGCTCACAACAGCAGGAAAAGTATCAGCAGCAACACCAACTCAAACCAGAACTTCAGATCAATCAGGACACCAAGTGGTGTGCAGCTCAACTGCATGTGAAAACACCTCTTCAACGGCCGTTCAGCGATTGGTCAGCATCAGTGGAGAGTGTAGAGGACACCAGGGTTCCACCCGCCCCATGTTCTGCCAAAAAACGTGGCTGAAACGACCTTCATGACTCGGTCGGTCTCTTCATGGCAGGTCCTTTCATGGAGGCAACAACAGCCAGAAACCTTGACCAGGCATCCTGCTCGCAGCGTACCTCGTATCCTCACAGCAGACCCCGACACACTCTTGCAGTTTGCATTTCAGCCATCAAGGCTAGGCGAGCCGCAAATAGGGTGGCAAACGACTTACATACATGGAACTCACAGAACACTTACAATCATTCGTACGTTCTTCATAGCTGTAAACCGAAGTGTGCATGAACCTTTCCTTCCGGAAGAGGACTCTCTCGCTTGGCTGCAAGTAGATATGCATATAGCTCTGGCTGATTGCTCTTTGGGAGCAAGCCACTGCAGCCACGAGCTCGGCTTCGTCTTACCCAAGAATCCAAAACGTCTTCATGCAGGAACCGTGTAAAACTGTTTCCTATAGGCCCTAGTAACCTAGTACTGTTCCAGGTCTGTTTCTTGCGAAAGACTCCTGATCGCTAGACAGGTAGCATCACGCATACAAAACCAGGGGAAGAGTGTCACTCGCATCTATGTAGCTAGATGTCTATCTAAGACCCTAGGTGTCATTGCATGAAGTCCAAAATCGGCACGAATCGAATGACTTTGTATTTGTATCGATTCGTTTTTGTGCAGACTTTAGACTATGGCTTGAGCTATCGGCATCAGAAACTGCAAAAGCACCGGCCGCAGAAGCGCATCAAGAGAGTGGCCAGGCAGGCCAATGCGCCTTCTAAATAGGAACTTCTACATCGACAGTGTTGAAGCCCAAGCACAGGGGAGTTGGGAACCCATCTAGAGCTGAGGAAGTCTAACTACGGTGACTCGCAAGTACGCGGAGACTGGACATTGAAAATGCTCCAAAGCTACAGTATGGATGCACCCTCGGTCAGTAGGTCGATACCAACACTAGCCCAATGATGGATCCATCGCAAAGAGAGTGGAAGTGGTGGCGAAGGTGGCAGTGTGGCAGTAAGTAGTGGTAGCCGTTGTCGTGTCGTGCTAACGGTTGTGGCAGTGCTAGTGCTTGCGCGAGCGCTTGCGGTCGTGGTAATGATGGTGCGAGCAGTCGTAGACTGACCGCACTAGTAGCAGCACTAGTGGTAGTCGTCGTCGTTGTGGTGGCAGTAGTAGTAGTGGTAGTCGCTGTTGCGTCGTGGTAGTGGCAGTGGGTGGAGGTGCAAGTGCGAGCGCCAGTGGGGGCAGTGATGATAGTAGCAGCACGAGCAGCAGCAGCAGCAGCAGCAGCAGCAGCAGTCGTGGTCGTCCTGGTGGTAGCAGTCGTTTCTGGTACTTGACAAACCCAGATATCACCCAACAATGCCCCAATATGAACTCCTCCTTGCGCAGAGCCCTGGTTCAGCTTTGTGAACCAACAATCGGCCATTCCATCGGCTGCAGCACGTCGTGGGTTTCGCCGCTTCAGCGATTGAGGCTCAAATTTTCGCAGGTTGGGATAGGGATAGTTGCCCCTGTAGATGTATAGCAGAATATGCGCCAACTCACGATTCTGAGTGTTAAGGGCCCCCATGTTAGGTTAGGGTTTTGAGCTTCTGGGTTGTCGCATTGAGCAGCTTTAGGTAGGGAATCGGACCTGGACAGCACCAAGCCCCCGACATGCAGACCCCAAATCCCGAGCCAAAAAACCTTCCACATCAGCTCTTACGGCGTCTTACGGATAGCCACGCAGCACAAGAGGAAGAAACAAGACTGGGTGAGCCCCCCGAAGCCATGCATCCTCTGCAACCCTCACCGGTTCGTTTCAAGGGAACTGGGCTACGAATACCACTAATTCCCGTAGTAAGGACAACAGATGGCACATGGCTTACTTTCTCTCCCAACAGTTGTATCTCACATATAATGGAATTTCTGCGCAAAGACCATTTGTTTCCCGGACCATTGCTGCAAGTCTGTGCGCCAGCAGGCCGACTGTGAAGACTTCCTTGCAAGGAGCTCACTGGACGCAGCCGCCGCATGCGTCGTTGTAGTCCCTGCCTCGGACTCAAAGACCGGCACACTAGACCTCCACAATCCAATTCGTAGACGCTGCCATAGCTGGTTGACTTCATTCCGGCATATTCCGGCTTTTGATGACTCTTCGAGGTATGAGTACGCGTGCAGATCCTGTTCCAGAGTCACCTTATTTCCTGAATCACCCTAGGTTTTGGAGGGTCGCCAGCGGTCATTCTCTGCTACAATGATTTGAGAACGTCTGCTTAATCTTCCTTTATGGCTCAACTCGGCCCGACAGGCCCGACAGCCCCCTTCACAATTGTAGGTCATTGAGTGTAAAAGCCTTAAAGCAACTTGAAGCTCTGAGTCCCGAAAAGTTGAGGGGAGACCGAGGCCAGTAGGAATCCGCACAGGCCCCACTTCAAAGCCATCCACGAATGTCCTTCCTTTGCAGGAACCCGCTCGTAATCAGCCGTTACCATGCATGGTTGATGATTGGCAGCATGTCACAGGCCCGATTGCATCACCCAAACTGTCGCATATTTGATTGTCTCGGGGTCCCCTCTGCAGGGAGTTGCTGCGCGACCCCAAAAGCCTAGATCCTACAACACACCCCAATCCCTGAAAACCTACGCCTGATGACCCGAGACCCTCAACCCTCGAAACCTCGAGCCTGGTGTTGGGAAACAGCGAGTCACCAAAGCCGTATACCCTGTCTAGAAAAAGTCTACTGCAAAGAATCCAAGCCCGTAAAACCGAACACAAGTTGCACGAAGCCACCAGATGGCTTCAATGCCGACGTTGTAGGCTTTAGGATTTAGGGCTTAGGGGTGAAGGGTTTGCGGGCTCCGGGTCAACTATACATATGGGGTACGAAGGGTTTAGGATTCAGGATTTAAGGGTTTTGTAGTCGGGTGAGCTTCGGGGGCTTCAGAAAGGTCTCGTGGAGGAGCTTCGGGGAAGATCTCTGGCTGTTTCTGGGTCCTTTTTTGGGGGTCTCAAAGTTTAAGTGCAGTGTTTAGGGGGTTTGGGGTAAGTATCCTCAAGTCTTCAACCGTACGTCCCAGAAAAGGCACATTGGCAGAAAGACGCCCACAACTCCTGCCAAAGGCGCAGAAACGGAGCCCAGCCATGGCGGCGGCTCCCGTTAGCGTCACTCCTTCGAGTTTGGGGTGAAGGGCCAAGGGGTTCGGGTTCAGGGTGTTTGGGGGTTTCGCGTTTCATTGGGGCTTGCGTAAAGTAAGGTTTAGGGCGTTTTTCGTAAAGCTTAGAGTTTGAGGTTGAGGGCTTAGGGGGTTTAAGGGGTTCAGGGTGTTTTTTCCCTCCTACTGAGCATGAACGAGGCCCGCCCAGGGTTTAGGGTTCAGGGTTTAGGGCTTTTATAGTAAAGTTTAGCGTTGAGGTTGCAGGGTTCAGGGCCAAGGGTTCAGGGTTTAGGGCTTTTGAAATAAAGCTTAGAGTTAAGGGTTCAGGGTTT